AAAAAAAAAAAAAAAAAAAAAGACAAAAAATCATTTTTAGGATCGATTGATCCTTTTTTCGTATTTGAAAATTTCGAAAATCTATTTTTTTATTTAAAATTGTGATTAAATATGTTCCTTATTTTATTTACTGTATTTATTTATTTATTATTTTATTTAAATGAAATAATGATTATTAATATATACAACATGAATGTTACCAATGAAACCATTTATAATCGTAACATTAAATATTGAACCCATTTATAACATAATATTGAACCCATTTATAATCATAACATAATATTGAACCATTTATAATAGTAAACCCATTTATAACATAATATTGAACCCATTTATAATAGTAACTAATTCAAATCCAAACCCGAATTTTAATGGATCTTATCATTATTGTAACAGTGTAAACCCCCCCTGAAAAAAATAAAATTTTATCCATCTCGTGAATCCGATACCGGAAAAAACGTGGGACGGATCAACTTTTTTCACAATGCACATAAATAAATTAATATAACTTTATGTTTCCCAAAAAAAAAATGCCCATTCATACTTTTCTAGTATTTTTATGTGTTCAATTTCAAAACCGAATTTATGGATCTTTATTATTCGACGGAATACATTTACTATTTATGGAATCAACGCGGAAGAGTGCGGATCAACTTTTTTTACAGAATTTAATGAAAGCACGTAATAAATAAAATAAATAAAATGATACTATTTCCTAAAAATAATATAAATTAAATAAATAAAAAATGCCCATTCATGACTGAAAGGTAAATTAAAAATACTTACTTTGTATTTGTATTCAAATTCAAACCCTAGATTTTTATTGATCCTACTATTGAAGTTCCCAAAAAATTCTACTCGTCCATGAACCTGATACATTTACATTTACGGAGACAACACAGAAGAGAAAATACGGTTCAACTTTTTCACTGATTGTAATGGAAACACGTAACAAATAAAAAATATAACTTTGTGTTTCAATAAATAAAATGTTCATTCACAATTGAAAAACAATAGACAAATTAAAAATACTTTTCTCGTGTTGTATTCAAATTCAAAACCAAGGATGTGAGAACCATTTCACCCGTTCGTTATTATCACATATCAATTATCTGAATTTACACTTACTGGAAAAACATCACGGATCAACTTTTTTATGAAATACGTAAATGATACAAAATATATATTACATTACAAGAATTATATTTGTCATATTTACCCTTAAATAATCAAACCATACCATCAGCACCAGCACGATCATCTCGTGACATGATGTTACCAAAAATATGGATCGAAACATAATTAAAGATACTTTATTGAATTCAATTTTGAGTTACACCTGTTTCCCAAACTAAAAACATATTGTGAGCCGACATTATGACATTATGACATAGTTAACTGACATAGTTAACTTTAGAAAATCTTCCGAGTTGAATGTGACAGCTCAATAATTAATAGTAGAAAGTGTTGTATAACAAAAATTAAAATATTTTATTATTTGCGGAATTGACCTCAATAATAATATTTATTATTTTTAAATTGTGTTTAATTGTTTAAACAAGATTTCAGAATTATTTTATCAAGAATTAAATATGGTCTATAATAATTATAATAATTTAGATTAATTAGATTGTTATGTTAAAATTTATTAAATTCTATATTGCTTAAAGTTGCAAAGTTGCTTTACAATCATTGCTTTTATTATTAATATTTTTAGTATTGAAATACTTTTTAACAAATTTAATATATGTAACTTCATTTTATTTATTATATTTATTATCAGGAAAAATTTAGAATTTATATAGTAATAAAAATTATAATTTTGTATAAAAAAAAGAAATTTATGATGTAATGCTGGCCAGTGTTTTATTAGATTTTTAATTCTGGCCAAAAATATATCATAATACTGGTATGGTGATCATCACCACTGGTAAACTTAGCAATTTTCTATTTTAAATATCATAAATTTTACATTTGCATTCCTACTATTAATTTTTAAAATACATGTAATTACAATTATTTATAACAACAAAATGTATCATTAAAAAAAATCTTTATTTAATTCAATATTTAATGTAATTGTACTAAAGTTTCCATATTAGTATTATGATGTACTTTTGAACAGAATAAAAAATCTAATAAATATTGGCAGTAATATATCATAAATTCACTGATAATATTTAGTAATATCCTAATTATAAATAATAATTTTCTATAATAATATAAATTAATATAATTATATATATTAGATAAATTTTTAACTATAAAAAATAAGGAGATTTTATAATTTTTGAAAAATTAAATACTATTTTAATAGGATGTTTATTGGAATTAAATTTATATTTAAAAATTTTATGTAAATTAATTATTTGTAATATATATATTATTAAACTAATAATAATTGTGATTTATTTATAAATTAATTACTAATTATATTAATTTAAAATACAATTACAATTTATATAGCATATAATTTAAAATTAAAGCTGCAATTCAAATTGTAAATTTAATATTATAATTATTATTACAGTTATCACTGGATATAACAAACCTGCCATTCCAAGCGTTTTGGTTCAATATATGGTGAATTCAATATATAATATTCATATTATATACTGAACTGTTCGGTATATGAATTTTATTTAATTAAATTATAGCAGCATATATTGTAATATTTAAAGTTCAGATAATTACTTACTATAATAGATAACACTATGTTTTATTTAAAATTTAGTTAAATCATCCTTACTTTTATCAATATTATCATTTATGGCTATATTTTATATGTTCAATATCACTACCACGATAATAACAAATATATTCCTTTAACAAATGTGAACAATGTTATGTATTTATTCAACTTTTTAAGTATTTACCAGCTATTCAAATGAAAATTTTATCTGATACTAACAGAAATAATTTTTTTGGTATATCTATTCTTTTATATTACTAATTAAAGTCACATGATAGTTCAGTATACTAAATATATAACTGATATATTTAGGCTGGCTAAAATAAGTTTAGATGCGATATATAGTAATTTATTATGTGATTTCGTTATATCCAGTGTAATTAATTATAAAAAAATCAGTTCTGTAAAACTTGGTTCAGTACAACAAATTTTCAGTACAAACAAATTCATTATTATAACCAGTAGTGACTGTATATTAATTTAAATTTTTGAATTTTACAAACTTGCTTCTTAAATTAAATAATTTGAGTTAAATCATTTTTCTAAAAATTTAATATTTTTGTAATTTTTTGCCAATATTTTGTTAATTTAAAATTTTATTAATTTTAAAAATTTTTTTAAAAAAAATTATTTGTACTATTATTCATTTTACTTTATAAAGATTTTATTTATTTGAATTTTATATATTTTTGATTATAATTATAATTTACATTTTTTTGAATATTTGAATAAAATTATGGATATTACTAAATATCATCAATGGTAACGGTCACTAGTAGTAAATTTATAATGTAATACTGGTTAGTGACTTAGTATTTTATTAAATTTTAATTCAAACCAAAAGTGCATTTTAATGCTGGTATGGTGACAATCACTGCTGGTGAATTTTAGCAATTTTCTAAAATTATAATTTAAAATATTTAATTTAATTTTAATAAAATATAATTTTTTTTAATTTAGTAACTATTTTTTTTTTAAAAATTTAAAAAATTATTTTTTATAAATATTTTATTATCCAATAATTTAATTTTAATAAATTATAAAGTTTAATAAAAGTTATAAATCAAAAAAAAAATTTATCAAAATTGAATTTTTAACTTCAAAAAATAAGTTAATTTATTAAAAATATGCCTTATAATTTTGAAGTTTTATTTAAATTGAAATTAAATTATTTATTTTTTTTTATTTAATATATTTTTATTATAAAATAAATTATATATATAATTTATATATTAAATTAAAATAATTAAAAAATATCAAAATTTTACTAGTAGTAATTATTATTACATGATTTTTACTAGTTTGATTTTTAAATTTTATAAAATTAATATTAAATCTAGAAATGCTGAGCGAAACTTAAATATTTAGTCATTTGATGAAATTGAAATAGTTTAGACATTTAAAATTAAAAGATAAAATGCTGAAATTCAATATTTCATGGTATTTTTATGGATTTTTCATAAATTTCCATAGATTTTTAATTATAATAATTACTTAAAAAAATAAATTTTTATTAAAATATAATATTTTTAAAAAGAATTTATAAAATTATTATAAATATAAATTAATTTTATATATTTTATAATAAAACTATAATTTTATATAATTAAAATTAAAATTAAAAATTATTATTGTATAGTTTAGTCAAAGATGAAACTGAAACTAATTGGTGACGAAACCAAAAATTTTTGGTAAAAAGAATTTAGGTAGGCATTGCTAATTAAATCAGTATATGAAATCTATTTGCAGAATTTGCAGAATGCAACCTAATTTTTAATTTTCACAAATTATACATAAAAAGTATTTGATTTAAATTTTATATACTGTATTAATCAATTACATATATTAAATAATTATTTTATATATAAATTTATAAAAAAAAAATTTTTTTAAATCAAAAAGGCTGTTTTTTCAAATAATTTTTAAAAAAAATGTAATATTCTATTTTTTTTTACTTTTTTATTATATTATAGAATATACATCTATTATTAATAAAAATAAGGTGCTTATAAGGTATATTTAGCTATTGCACTGTAAAGAGTAGAGATTGCATTTTTTCTTATAATATGCTAAATTGGCTATTATATTAATAAAAAATACTTGCTCCTTTTAAGGATAATTAAAAAAAAAAATAAGGAAAATATTAATAATAATATTTTTAATATTATTTAAGAAGATTTAAATAATAAATTATTTTAAAATTTTTTTTTAAATTAATTACTAAAATATTAATTTTAATATTACTTTTACTTTTTGAAAAAAGCTGAAATATTTTTTAGAAAATATGGATATTGTAATAATTTTTCTATAAATAAAAATAAATCCAATTAATTAATTATAAAAAAAATATTTACATGTAAATTTAATAGTAAATTAAATTAAAATAAAAAAAAACTACTAAAAAATATCAGTACTTTAGTTTTTTAATATATAAATTTGATATTTTTAGAACATATTACAAATATTACTATTAGTTTATTTGCAAATGAATATAATTATAAATATTATTTGTAAAAGAAATAATAAATAAAATTAAAATAATAATTAAGTATATAAAACTTTTAATTTAATACAATCTTTTAAAGATATGATTTCTAAAAATTAATTATATAAATTTAGATTTTCTTAAATATAAACTTTATACTAATAATTATTTTATACAGGTCTTTTAAATAATTTTTAATAAATTATTCTTTAAATTAAATATCATAATATTATTAAATTAATTCATTTTTTGCTATTTATATAAAATATATAGTAAAAGTTTATTTTTAATTTATCATATTTTCATTAGTGAATATAAATACAGTATATTTATTATTTTATCCTATTCTTTTTTGCCTTTTTCCATTTTAAAAAATGAGTAAATATTTTAAAAAAACTTTAAAGTTATTGAACTCAAAAAATAATAGTAGTATTATAAATAAATTAAAGAAAAATTTTCTTACTTGAAGAATATAAATCTTTCTAAAATATATAGTTTTTTAAACCCATTTATTTCTAAGAAATTATATAAATATTCTTTTCTAAATACTTTACAAAAATATGTTACTGAAGTAAAATCTCAAAATATTAAGAAAAACATAAAATTATAGCTTTTTAAATTTGAAAAATTTATAAATGATATACAAATATAGATTTATTAACTCTTTATAATAAAAAAAGTCATTGTAATATTATAAAAATTGCTTGTTTAAACTCTGTTAATGTAGATAATAGATGAACATTAGTATTTATTAATAAGATATACAAAAAAAAAAACTAGTAAAAATATTACAGAATATATGCAAAAAAACAATAGTATAAAATAATAAGAAGAAGATAAAGTTAATTTTAATAATGAATCTTATTGATCTTCAAGAAAAATGCTTTTTGAAATTCAAAATATTTCAATTCCTCTAAAATGTAAAAATAAAAACTTAGATTTAACTAAAAATAATAAACTTAAATTTGTTAAATATACCAATATTATACATGCCACCTAAATTATTTTGGGTTACCATAATTATAAGTAAAATCCCAAATTCAATTATGACATCCCAAATTATTTTAGCACTTTATATAGTAAATTATATATAAACTGAATGAATTACGGCATCCCAAATTATAATTATAGCATCCCAAAATAATTTGGGTAGCATGTATAACCAATATTACTATTAATATTATAAAAGAATAATTCTATTAGTATTTTTAGCATAATTTGTTATTTATTATTATACTATATACTGATATAGTGAATTCTTGATATAGTGAATTTTTCAGACAACTATAATAAATTTCCTCTTGTTATAACGAATTAACCAATCAAATCTTTTAAAATCTTCACTATAGTTTTATAGTAAAGTTGAGAGCTGGAATCTAGGGTTCGTTATAACAAGAGTTGACTGTAATAATTTTTTTAAATACTAAATTTGTTTAATATATTAAAATTTAAAATAATTTAATTTAAATATATAATTTAAAAAAAATGTAAATTATAATCACATTGTTAGAAATGTGCTTTATAATATCCAAATAAATGAAATTTGTAAAAGTAAAATAAATAATAGTACAAATAATTTTTTTTTTTTTTTGAAAGTTTTTTTAAAAAAAATAATTGGCAAAAAATCATGTATAAATTTTTAAAGAAGTAATTAATCCAGGTTATTTAATTTAAGAAGCAAATTAGCAAATTTATTTTGTATTTTTATTTTGATATAATTATTAAATGAAATTACTTTATAAATAAAAAAAATATAATTATAATTTTATTTAAAAAGAAATTTTTTATTTATTTAAACTATATAAATATATTTATATTTGTTGATTCCATAAAATACAATCTTGAAATTTCACTTTTGTTCCTCCAAAAATATCTAATGCACTAAAAAAAAAAAATATATTTAATAATTAAATTTATAATTAAAAAAAAGAATTATTACTATACCTTCCAAATGTTAAATCAATTTTTCCATTTGATAGTTGATTAACCATTTCAAGGTCTTCAATAGCTACAAAATAATAATTTTTTAATATAAACTTATTATAATAATTTGATTAACAATTTATTACTTACAATTTGCACCACCTGCATATGTAGTTGGTATAGTAATCCACTTTCCAAGATCTGATTTAAATTAATTATTTGTTAAGTACAATAGTAAAATAATTTAAAATTTATTTACATACATTCTACAAGTTCACTATCAATTCCTTGGCATAAACCTTCTACATCTGCAGCATGTATCAAAAATTCACTAAAAAATATACATTATTATTATTTAACTATTTTGGCAAATAAAAATAAAGAATTATTATTTAAACCTGCAATAATTTGATAATAGTTCTAAGGATTCTAAAAATAAATTATAGTTCGATTAGATTACATAACATCTAGTAAATATAGGTCAGAATGAGAGTATATTAGGTTTAAGGTTAGGATCACTAAATTGTTACTTAAAAAAATTATTACCTTCATTTACTTCCATATCAGTCAAAGTTTGCCATTTATTCATTGCAATAATCCATTTATTGTTTTTTTTACGACAACTATAAAAAAGACTAAATAAAATAATCAAAAAAAAAAAAATATTATTTTATTCAATTACCTGATGTCAACAACAATCTTTTCTTTTCCAATTTTTGCTGATAAATCTTGTAATCTACTTAAGGAAAATTTAGCATCAGGAAAGAGATACGATGTAACAATTATCTAAACAAAAAAAAATTTATTTAATATATTAGTATTTTATAAGGTACTATTAAACAAAATATTACTAACCTTTTCAGCACTAGCATTTAACCATTCTTCCGCGTTTTCTAAAGTAATGCCTCCACCAATTTGTAAACCGCCGGGCCAAGCCGCCAAACATTCTTTTGCCGCTTCATCATTTCCATGCCCAAGTTTGATTACATGAGCCCCGGTTAAATTATATTGCTTATATAAGTTAGCATAATAACTCGGTTTTTCACTAAAACAAAAATATAACAATGATTTTTTTTTTTTATTAATACATTGGCTTTAAGGAAATATAAAATAAAGTTTACCTTGGTACCTTGACACAAAATTTGTTTTAAGTCCCGAAGGATTTGATTCATTTAAGGAACCACCTACAATTTGTTTAACTTGTCCGTTATGTAAATCTATACATGGTCGAAATTTTGTTTTTGGCATATTTTTTGTTTAATTAATATTTTAGTGAAGTTAACAAAAAAATCTTTTTATTGATAATCATTGTCGATAATCTTTGCACAGTCAGATGCTGTGCCTCAAATATCAGCTTAATACATAACTTTTTTCTTTTTTTTTGCATTTTTTATATTTAATATCTCTATATTTCGAAAATTAAAATATGAATCGAAATTCTATGTTATTTACATTCAAAAATTAAAACTGATTGAAACATGGAAAGCTAGAATCAAATACTAAAAACAAAAGTTTTCTTCGTCTTCAATATAATTTGTCATATCCATAGGATCATCTATTTCGACATATTTCTCCCTGTTTAGTTTATTCGAAGTCAAAGGATATACTTGATTCAGACAACTCAGAGTTGCTTTTGCATGTTGCTTTGAATTTAACGAAAAAGTCGAATCAGAATTGAACAAATTTAAATCTGTTTTATGGATTCTTTTAGGAGACATCCCTAGCTCAGGTAAAGCTAAAGTTTCTTCAATTGAACATTCATTCGACAATGGCGGTATAATCTTCCGAAATGTTTCTTTTGTTGGATATTCTGAACCTGATGTAAAGAGAGGACCTAATAAAGATAGAACCCCTTCGGGTCGTTGCTCATTCAAAGATGAATTCTTGTTTGATCCAACTTTTGAATGAATGGTTTCGTTTGTTGAATATCCAGGACATAGAGTAGATAAATCTAGTTCGAATAAAGAAAGTGTAGTAGTTTCAGCTGGTCGTTGTTGAAAACATAATTCGTTTGAAACTACTTTTTTTGTTGGAGCCTCCGAATAACAGTTATCATAGATAGATTGGTTCCATTTTCTCTTTTTCACTTTAATTATTCTTGAATTTGACTGATAGAAGTCATTAAAATCTGAAGTATAAACTTCTTTATATTCCGGACCGGATGAATTTGACATGCTACAAAATGTATCCATTGTAAATTTTTAAAGTTTGAACTGTTCAACGAAGTTCTATTATGTTGTGATTGAAATGAAATTTTGATCCGTTTAAATAAAAATAATAGAGTAATATGAGAAAAAAAATTTTGTTTTTACCCTTATCGATATCTGCAGTAAGTAATAATGTTGTGTAAGAAGAAAAAGCAATGAAAATTTGAATGGGAACAAAATGTTCATTTATGCACAATTATGCACTGCTGCGGGTTTTAATTTGACTGCGCCTCCTATTTGCACTTGGGACTGGAGAAATAGAAATACGCCTACATACCTACATACGTACAGTAATACTCAGCCTGCTTATGGAAAACTTTGGAAGATAGATTTTTGAGTAACAACTTAACAAAACCATTTTCGTAATTAATTTGCAGATTATAGTTAGATCCTTCCAAAACCCATTTTAAGATTCGTTTGACTCAAAGTTAGCGTTTAGTAAAAACAAACAATACATTTTTATTACATAAAGAATCGACGGTAAACTTCCAACTTTGCTTTCCTTCTCATAATTTTGTATTAATCAAGTTTTGAAATTTAGCCAATCAAACAAAGAATAATATGTAAAGTGTTCATTATGTATAACACGAGGAAAAAACTGGTGATACAATGTAACATATAATTATTCACATTTAAAATATTTAAAATTTGGCCTAAATTAAAGAATTTTCTTATTTTCTTTAATTAAAGGCTGATCATTCTCATTATTACTTATTAATATTACAATTAATTGTATTTCTGTTATAAAGTAAACTTATTATAATTATATATTATATAACAATTAAATTAAAATTGAACTAAATATATACAGTCAACTTTAAGATTGCCTGCCTAAACTTCTCCAAAATTTTATGATTAGTTTCTTCAAGATTTTACTATAGTTTTATTATAGCTTTGGCAAAATTTTGGTAGTTTTAGCATTTATAATAAGTTTTGTTAAGTTTTGCTTTTCTTTAGAGTTTTGCCAACTTTTTAATAAGACTTTTGTATAGTTTCAGTAAAGTTTCACTATTTTAGCATTTTGCCAATTGTTAAAATTCTCTAGTTTCTTCAGCAATCTTAGTCAACTCCTTTTATAATCACTTTAAAAAATACCATTTATTCTTTTTGTCTTTTAAGTCAGTTGACTTTTTTGTTATTTTTGATATTAACTTCAAAAATTTTTTCATAAGGTTTTTATCTGCAATCAATAGCCTGAAAGTATTATTATTATATATATTGATATTTGCAACTTTTTTTTAATTATTCTAAATATAACTGTATACAGTCAACCCTTGTTATAATGAACCCTAAGTTCCAGACCTCAACTTCGCTATAGGGCTATAGTGAAGATTTTAAGAGATTTGATTGGTTAATTTGTTATAGCAAGGGGAAATTTATTATAGTTGTCTGAAAAATTCACTATATCAAGGGTTCGCTATATCAAGGTTTGACTGTACTTTTCTATAATTTAAAAAAAAAACTGCAAAAATTATATGTATTAAAATTTTAAAAAATTATTTGTATAAATAGTGTTCTATAATATATAATACTTATTAGTATATTTTTTCTAGTATTTCTATTATTTTTTTTACCTTTATGTGACTTGTATAATGTGATCAATTTTACTAATATATTTGTTTATTATTTACCTTATTATAATAAAATTCTCTTTTTTTTCTTTTTATATTCCTTTTTTTACATTAAAATAATATTTTAAAAGTTTATTAAGACATAATCTGCCTAAGAATTACAGAAAATCACTATATAAATTTGGGAAAAAAAATTAAAACCAAAAAAAGGCATTATCTTGTGATACAGTGATTGGATTTTAATGATTTTTTTTCGAGTTTATAGCTTTCGATGCACTTTTCAAAACAAAAAAAAAAGATATTCAAAATTGGACTGGTATATCACAATATAATCACAAAAATGATTTTTTCCAGGTAAATCTTCTGAAATTCCAGATAAATCTTCTGCTGCCCATAAAAAATTATGGTTTCAATTATCTTGTGATATATCAGTCCAATTATAAATATCTTTTTTTTATTTTGAAAAGGGTACTGTTAGCTACTAATTAGCAAAGGAATTGTTGAAATCCAATCACTAGATCACGAGATAGTGCCTTTTTTTGGTTTTAATTTTTTTTTCTGAATTTATATAGTAATTTTCTGTAGTTCTTAGGCAGATTATGTCTTAAATAATAAAAAAAATAAAAATTTTTTGAAAAACTTAAAGTATATAATATTTTTATAAAGTTGTAAATGATTTTTATTTACATTAAACATGTTTTTTTTAGAATTTATATTATTAATTTTAAAATGACAAATTTGAGTAGATTAAGTAATTATTTAATAACATAAAAATATTTATTTATTGATATTACTTAAATATTTATCTATTTTTTTTAATAAAATTAATTATTTACATTTATTTTTAATTTTATAATTTTATAGCATAATTTTAAAATTTCAGTTAAATAAAATAGATTTAAAAAACTTAATAATACTATTTAGTAGATTTAAATATCAATTTTTATTAAAATATCTTGAATATTTGCAAAAATAAGTTTTGCTAACTTGTCTTTTAGGTTAAATAATTTGAATTAAATCACTTTCCTAAAAATTTATATTTTTATATTTTACATGATTTTTTACTAATTATTTTTTTAAAAAATTTTTTTTAAAAAAAAATTATTTGTGTTATTATTTATTTTATTTTACATAGATTTTATTTATTTGGACATTTCTTGATAATATTATTTATATTTAAAAATTTATTAATAGGTTAAATTGCAGATTAAATTACCTTAATTGCCGATCCGCCTAAAAACGGCACTGCGTTACTAATAAAATTTGGGGATAATAGCGATAATAAAAAAAAGCATTTTTTGCATCTCGCGCGCGAAATAAGTTTCACCCATTTTACAAACAGAAATATCATAAAAACAATATTTTCTTTCATTTTATGACAAGTCATATTTGCCAAAAAATTTTATAATTATATTTCTGTAACTGGTTTTCTTCAACTTTCACTTGTTTTTAATAATAAAAATATTTTAAAAAAGCTTTTAAAACCAACTTTAGAAGCTAAAAATTATAGGTTTTTATTGTAAATAATGCAATATAGTAAAATGAAATATTGAAATTTTGTATATTTTAAGGTGTAAATCTGACGCGCGCGCATAGTAAACTCATTATTTTGCATACAAATGTATAACTTTTTTTTGCAAATTCGTTTTTTTCAAGTATTTTTTCAGTATATCATATGATTTTTTTTATAGTCAATATGTCATCTATGAGATATCCTTTTTTGAAGTTTGTGTTCTAGCACAAAATCGGCAAATTTAACCCCGAATTTTATTAGTAACGCAGTGCCGATTTTAGGCGGATCGGCAATTAAGTTAAAATTAGTCTTATACATAAAAATATTATGGAATTACTATATCATATATAGTGAGTAAGTATTTTTACTTTACAATATAATTTTAGTGTTTCAGTTTTATTTAAAAATAAAATAAGTCTTTAGAATTTAAGTAATATTATTTAGTAGGTATAAAACTGATTATATATTAATTTTTATTAAATTAATTTAAGTATTTATAAAGTAATTTGAATTTTTTACAATAAAATATTTTAAAAATTGTTGTTTTTAAAAAATAAATCAATATTTATCAAGAATACAGTACATACAACCTAGTTCCAACAAAAAAATTTTTAAGCGGCCAAATTTTTTATATTATATAATACTTAACCCTATAATTTTATTGGTTAGATTTATTAATTAAGTTATAATTCTTAATTCTAGCCAGAATTATACATAATTTTAGTTAGATTTACATAGTTAATAATAATTAAACAAAAAGTAATTTTGGCCAGATTTATATGTAATTCTGGTCAGAATAAAATGGTTAAATATTTAATTTAGTAGTAAAATATTTCAACTTTAGATTGCTACCAGCGCACAAAAAGTTTTTGAAAAAATACTGGAAATTTTCCGAAAAAATCAAAAAATTCTGGAAATTCATTTTTTGCATCAGAACATGTGACTGGAACCAATAAAAAAAAATTTTTTTTATTTAATTGGCAATTCGGCATAAATTCTAAAGTCTCAAATATTTTCATTATGTCTTTATTACAATATGGATTTAAGCATTAAAGAATTAATAATAGCTTGACTCAAGAAAATGAGAATTAATATTTTAACGTTTTTATTATATATTAATAAAATTTCGGCATTCATAAAATTTACCGGAAATTTGCTGTGCCATGTCCGAAGAAATTCTGGGTTTAAAAAATTTTTACGGATTTATCAAAAAGCTTTCGGAAAATCTGGCAAAATTTAAATAGATTTTGTGCGCTGATTGCTACTACTTTATTAAAAAATACTTTACAGGAAATTTAAAAATATAGTTTTATTAAGTTTAATCTGATTTATTATTATACGTTTATACTTTTTATTTATCTTTTTTTTTGAATAAATAGTAGCTGAGTAATTTAAATTTCATCAAATTTAATTGCTGAGACTAAGTTGTATGTACTATTAAATATAAATAAATAAAATCATTGTATAAAATATTTACTATAGTATTTTGATTTATAGTAAAATTACTATTTCCTATATGGTTTTATTAAACAAAGTTTAGTAAAGAAATATTTCTTAAATACTATTAATATTTTTACTCATTTTTATTCTGCAATTAATCTCAATATTCTGAATATTTATATACCAACTATATATCTTTGATTTATGAACTACATTTTGAATTATTATATGGATTCTTTTCTTTTTTTTAAAAAAAATTAATTGTTATCAAAAGACCAATAAAGTATTTTTTTACCTGTTTTTCTTATTATTTTCTGTATTTTTTTATTTATTATAGCAGAAACTTCAAAAGGAAGAATAACAATTATATTAAATTTATCAGTTAAGAATTTGATTGTTTTTTAATGAATTTTATTTTGCAATTGTCTAATCTCTTATTGTATATGAAAAATAGATTAGTTAATATGTAATGCTTTTTTTTTTATTTTAAAATTAAAGATGCTAATTTATTTTTTTTTAATATAATATTATTTATATATAAAAAATATGACTTTTTTATTGAAAATATAATATAAATAAACAATTAAAACTACATGAACTTTTACTTTTATTTTATAGGTTTGTTATATTTCATGTATTTAATAATACATTTGTTTTACATATATATATATAAGTTATAATTACAATTTATTTCAGTGCAGATTGTGCTTTCTATCTTCTAATTTATTAGGTTTAATTATAAAGGATGTGTAATATAAAAATGATTCCAGTTTTCTTTGAAAAGCTTTATATATTAATGATTATTATTTGTCATAAATCTTTCTTAAATTTAAATAATAATAATGATTTTTTAGTTTCTTTTGAATTCTTTTATATCATTAGTTTGATTGATAATGTTTGATTCACAATTGTTTTAATTTTTCATCTTTTTTGTTTTGTGTTCTTATCATTTTTATTATCTTTCATTTTCCATTATCTTTAGTACATGGCTGCTTTTATTTCTTGCATTCAGCAGATGAAGACAGTATTGATTACAAGAATATTCTGAGAAAGTTTATGCTTGTTAAAGATTATATTGAAAACTATGAGTTTTGTAGTGTAGAGGAAAAATAAGGGAGAATGAAGTTAAAGGCGAATCAGCGGAGTCAATCATGATGAGTAACCACAATTTCTGAGATCATTCTGTGGCTTGTCCATTCCAATAAGGTCTTAAGTCCCAGTTGTTTAAAGCTGATGTTGCTGATGAGTTCATAGGTCAGAAATTGGGTGCTGAGAAGTTATTTCTGTTTCAGGTCTTCTTTTTGCTTGACATTAGAGACTTAAGCATAAAGGAAACCTTTCTTGGTGGTGGTAGTGGTGATATTATCAACATTTTGTAAAGTAAACTCTGAAAAATAGAAGATATATTATAAAGGTGAGTACTAGAAGGAGATGTTTTAGCAGTAATTTTTTCTTGCTTTAACCAATAATGCAAGGTGTCTGATAAGATACCAAGTTTCTTAATGATATATATATCAGATAAATATACAGTGACACCTCTATAAGTGCACCCAGCGTGGAAAAAAACCTTGGAAAAATTTTGGAAAAATTCCGGTTAAATATAAAAATTCCGGAAATTTATTTTTTCAACCGGTATGGAATTATGGAATTAAAAAAAATTCCGGTTTTAGATAGTATTACCAAATATATAATAATCTTTTCTTTTTTTTATTCATGTATGGAGTAACCAGAAAAGATGTACTGGCTTTAAATAATCATATTGTAATAAACTACTGAAATAATAAATAATAAAATTAAAGATAAAAAACTTTTTTGCGATATCTGATATAAATTTATTAAATGAAATTTCCGGTATTTACAAAATATTCTGGAAATCTGCTACGCTACGACCGGAACAATTCCGGGATTATAAGATTTTACCGGTTTTATCAGAAATTTACTGGAAAAACTGGTTAAATTATAATGGATTTTCCGCGCTGAGTGCACCCTCTATAAGTACACGTACTATATAAATTCTCTTTAAGTGCACGGTGGATCTGATCCCAACTTATAAGAGCTCTTAATATTTTACTCTCTATAAATGCACACCCTCTCTAAGTGCACATTCTACTATTTTTTTACTATGGTCCCAAGGGTGGTGCACTTAGAGAGATGTTACTGTATAGGAAAATGAAGAAAAAATGGCAACTGTTATTGCAATGTATTACTATTTACTAAGTAAAAATTTTGCTACGGTATTTAAATAAAACATGTGTAAATAGCTAGTTGACTCCTAACTCGCTATTGTTGCATTTAGTTATATGAATACTATGAAGAATTTTTTATGCCACCCTTTTTTTATAGTAATATGACTTATTAAGTAAATGATTGTAAACTTATAAAGTATATTTGAAATGTGTGCTAGGTTAACGGCACAGTATGGCACAGTAATTTCAAAAAGATTTAAGTTAAAGATTTTCTTTTTAATGTAAAGCTTTCAAATTTATATATTAGATGTATTTTCATCTGTTTTACAAAATTCACTTTTATATGAAAGGAGGTTTTGGAAGTAGATTTTGACTTTAGTATATAACAACCAATTTTATTGTCTTTGCCAATCATTTTCAAAATTGGATTTGTTGAAAGAACAGTTTTTGTTAAATAACTAACTACCCCAGTGGCACTGAAAAAATTTAGCTATCATGTAATCAATTTTGTTGATCATATCTAAAATGGATAAATTAATTTTAATAAAAAAATAAAAAATAAGGATAGAACACAATATAAATGCCATACATTTTTTAAACTTACATGGTATGTATATTTTGAACGCTCTACAAATTTACCTAGATGAGAAAAATACATTTTAGATATAAATTTTGACTTTTTATATGATAATTCATAAATAATTAATTTTTACAAAAATCTGTATTTAAAACCTACCTTTATTGCCTAAGTAGCAAGCAAATTTAAATATAATGTATGAGTTTTAAAATTGGAAAATGTCTGTAGTAAGTTTTATTCATGATAATTCTTTTCGTTAAATCTGTTTACCATTTTTGGGAATGATCGACAAAAATGGTCACGTGATTGCTAAATTTTTGTCGGTGCCACTGAGGTAGTTTAAATAACTCTTCTAAACCACCTGTATATGCTCTAAGTAAATTTGCAGAGCGGACGAAAATACACCTAGTGCAGGAATTTAAAGGTTTTATTTTAAATAAAAAAATTGCAATTTAATTTTTTGGAAAAATCGCTGCGCCACACTGCGCCATCAACCTGGCACACATTTAAGACATGCACTTATAAAAGTTAATGACGTCATAATACTATTATCCTTGACATAGAATTTAATTTCGAGAAAGTTCTAGGATATAATCATCCATATTTGGTAATTGAACTGTACTAACCAGAAATTACGAGAAAAAGCATAAAATAAGATATAAATAAGGCCGAGAAATAACTATTGGGAGAAAATAAAAAAATATTTCTTAAAATATTTTAAACGAAAAGATGTCTATTTACGGTTGGAATAACGACTTTAACCAATTGGAACGATCTGTAAATCGTCTTTTTGATAATTTTATGAATGATTTGAGTAGCGCAAGAAGGTCCGAACGTAACCAAAATGAAGTAGCGAGAAGATATTGGTCTCCTTTGATTGATGTTCACGAAAGCGAAAAAGAATTTGTCGTTAACGCAGATTTACCAGTATGTATTTATAATAATTTTTAATTCGCTCGATTGAATTGTATACTAAAAAAATAATTTTATGTAGGGAATTCCCAAAGAACAAATTAATGTTGATGTTCACGACAATACTCTTGTAATTTCTGGTGAAAATAAGCAGGAACAAAAATACAAAGAAGGAAACACTCATATTCAAGAGCGTCGTTTTGGCTCCTTCACTCGTTCCATTCCTTTACCACGAAACGTTAAAGTGGATGAGATTTCTGCTAAATTTAATCAGGGTGTTCTTGAAGTCTCTCTTCCAAAAAGTGAACCAACTGGAAGAAAAGTTACAATTAGCTAAAATAGTGTTATTAAATATCAGATATACATATTATATATATGTTTATATGTATATGTTCTACTTGACAACATCGTTATTTTAAATAAAAATCATTTATAATCAACTTTTAAATACTTCTTGTGAAAATTTTTTTTATGTATGCATTTTTTCTTACATTATTATTATTCTTTCTATATTAGGTTTCTAAATAAATACAAAAGATAACAGATAAATCATTTGATATACGATAAGATTACAGTATAAATAGTATACAAGGGGAAAATAAAAGTTGGAATCAATGGAATGTCTACGTTAAAAATACTAATATTTTGAATTTGTATGAATGAAATCATCTAGATCTAAAGATGCAATCAATCAAAAAATTTTTTTGCAAAAATACGACTCAAGGGATAATCTATTTTTTTTTAGTACATTTTTATGACATATTCATATGAAACTTCAATGTATACATTATATTTTGAGATAATATCCGAAAATGCATAGATAAATAAGAAAGAAGTTTGTTTTCAAATTACCGGATAATTTGCTGGATAGCGATCTTCGGAATTGATGCAATGTTTATGTACATTGTTTTATTATCTTTTGTAGTTTACCATTAAAAGCTTTTTTTGTAAATATTGCATTAATTCAAGTGCATGTGGTCATGCCGTGTAACAAGACGCCCCAAAAACCAATACATCAACGTATCATTAAAGCGTCATGGCCTTTTTCGGGGCTTTTGAAAACGTGCTTGCAATAATTATACCACCTGACTTTCATGAATTGTTTACATTTTACCCATAAAATTTAATAAAAGAATTCAATAGCTACAATTAATTCCACAGCTATACTTTGAGTAATAATTAATATTCTTTATATCAAGTTTAATAGTACAGTTTTTTTTCTCTTTATCATTACAACAAAATGACAAAGAAACGAAAAGGAGGGAAGACTCACGAGAATTCACACGAACAAAGTGGAGAAGAACTCCCTACAAAAGTTAATGGTCTTGTAAAGTCGGAGGTTAATATATGCTTATATATTCTTTTTCTGTGTTAAGAACTATTCCTATAGAGCTAAATGAACAGAAAATAATAGCGATCTTGAAATTTTTTATTATCAGGAATTTTCTTTATTTGACTGATTTACCTTATTGATAAGTAAAACATGACTTAATAATCAATGTGAATTGATGTCAATATTTTCTTATAGGAAACTCAACCAATTGATCCCTCACAGCAAATGTCGCAAAAATGGAAAAATATGACAGTTCGGACAATCTGGACATTCGTTATGATATTTGGTTTTTTTCTCATTTTGGGTTTAGGACATATATGGGTCATTTTTCTTGTAGTGGTGATTCAAACACTGGTATATAAAGAAGTTATTGCAATTGCGCATGTTCCGAGTAAGGAAAAGAAATTACCATGGTTCAAAACACTTAATTGGTCGGTTTCAAATATTTTTGTTTAAATAGTTACTACATTATCGATCAAATTTATCAGCAAAGTTTTACTAATTTTCATTCTTTAAAAAATTTTTTTTAGGTACTTCTTAATTAGCACGTATTATTTTCTTTATGGAGAATCGATAATTTATTATTTCAAAGCAATCGTTATGGTAGATGCTTTTCTACTTCCTTTTGCAACGCATCATCGATTCATTTCATTTGTCCTATATTGTATAGGTAATTTAAAAATTAATTACGTGAAATTTGATGAATGTCATGATTCTAAATTCTCAGATTATATTTTTAGGGTTCGTATTCTTTGTCGCCAACCTTAAGAAGCATCATTATAAATTCCAATTCACCCAATTCGCCTGGACACATATGACTCTATTGATCGTTGTATGTCAAAGTCACTTTATCATTAATAATATATTTGAAGGATTAATCTGGTATATATTCTACTTTTATTTCAAATGAGCCGAAAGAATTTATTCTTACAGGTTGTTTACTCATTAGGTTCGTGTTACCAGTGTCATTAGTAATCTGCAATGATATCTTCGCGTACATTTGTGGGTTTTTCTGGGGTAGAACTCCTTTAATTAAATTGAGTCCCAAGAAAACATGGGAAGGATTCGTTGGTGCTTTGATTTGTACGATAATTTTTGGATTTTTCGTAAGTAATTTATATATTAGTTGTTTAACATGAATGTTGATTAACTGAATTTATTGTTCTATTTTATTAGTGGTCTTCTCTATTAAGACGTTGGGATTATATGATCTGCCCCGCTCAGGTATCTTTCATTTCATAAATTTACCGTGATTAATACGTTAATAAACATTACATTTATGATTTTAGGATTTAACGACCACAGCATTTTATGGAAGATTGACGTGTGAACCAAATCCAGTTTTTATTCCTCAACGATATGATCTCAATCCTTGGTTAACTAGTTTATTCAGACGACTCGTTAGTAAACTTTGTTTTAAGATTTTTTTGTTTAATAATAAAAAAAAATTTTTTTTAATACCGATTTTTCTTTAGACATTTAAAGACATCAGATCAGTCTGGATCGCGCCATTACAATGGCACGTCTTGGTCATGGCTTGTTTCGCTTCTTTGATTGCACCTTTTGGTGGTTTCTTTGCAAGTGGTGTTAAGAGAGCATTCAATATCAAAGTAAGTCATCTAATCATGTAGTCATGATAGCGCGTAAGATCATATTTCGGTTAACATCAGTTGACGAATTCATTTTTAGGACTTCGGGCATTCTATTCCCGGGCATGGTGGCATCACTGATCGTATGGATTGCCAATTCCTAATGGGATGTTTTTCACACATGTATTACCAAAGTTTCATCAAGGTTTGTTAATTTAATGTCGATTACGTTTCCAGTTTAAATTTTTTTTATTAATCAAATTGGATTTGCTATAGATGTCATCTCTAACAGTTGGAGCGGTTCTTCAAACAATTGTTAATTCACTTAAACCACAAGATCAAATTGAACTTTTCAATAGGTTAAAGCAATATTTATTAAGTCAAGGTCTATTGGAAGAAAGGGGGGCGACAAATTAAAAAATAATTTGATTAATTCTTTTATAAGGCGGGCCCTAGGTGTCAAATATTTCATTAAAGCTTTATTTGAACAATTTTACAATTTATCATCAAAAATTTTAGTAAATATTATAAAATTAAATATCCACGCTTTTTATATTAAACATTTAATAAATTTAAAAATCTAAAAAAAGTTTTTCGTATATAGTTCCTAGATCATTTTGTAAAACAACTTACATAACCAGGTTCAGGTTATTATAGTTGTTTATATGTAAATATTTCTGTACTAAACTCCTGTCGGATATATATATATTAACAAGTTATAGGAATAAAAGTTCGGTATAAATGTATACAATTTAGAAACTATAAAAAAGTTTAATAAGAATCTAGTAACAATTGGTTGGTCCATTCACGACTGTCATTAATTAATCCCATTAGATAAGGGGAATTGCCAAGAACTTGAAAACTAATTTCCTTAAGATTACTATTATCAGTTCCATCATCAATATCCTCAATATTTGTGCCAGTTGCTGAGGTAGAGGCGTCTGTTGAAGTATCCAATGTTGCATTGAATAAAGTAAGTGTGCTCCATAAAGTTGTCAGGTTTCTATGATGTTTCCGAAAGTAAAGTTATTTTTAATGAAATTAGAAAATTAAGAAAGGAAAAGTGATATTCACTCTTTTTGTACTCTTATTATGCCAACAAAATCAGAATCGTGTATTTCGCCATTCCAGTCTAAAATATCTATATGAATACCTGAACCAACTATTCCAAATAATTCTGTTAATGCGCGAGTGAATAAGGTTCTTAAAGAAAGTGAAGAAACTGGTGGAAGTGGCGTGGTTGGTGGATCGAAATTTCTATTTGGTTTAAGAAGTTAAAGATTAACGAGAATTCTTATGAACCAATTATTATTATTATAGTTGTCCAATTACATTTTAATTTTAAGGTAATGCCATTCCGGTGTTGTAATTGTGTATTTTGTTAATTTTTTTGGAGTTGTATCTGTTGATTTGTCTCGTTTTTCGTGTTCCATATGCGATAATCTCTATTCGCGTATAAAAAAGAAATCTTGATCGAATCATCTACCATCACCGTGTACGCCATTATAGAAGATCATCAAATTTCCTTTTACGTACTAGTATAATAATACAGAAATATAAATATAAGAGCTAAGTATATAGTATATTGTATCCATCCAATATACTTATTGTTATTTGGAGAATTAAAGATCAAAATGTCCGGCTCTGAGCTTTTTGAGTCATATGAAAATGACTTTAGCCAGATTTCTGCTTCTATTGGAAATAAAATAAACAAGACAATTCCTTCGCAGGCCGGAGGTAAATTCCTGAAGACTAAATTTAAAACGTTATTTAAAGCAATTTACATAATTCTTTGATTTAATATAGAGAAACGGAAGGCTACTACTCGAGCTGCCGAACGTGAAATTGAAGAGGCAGAAGAAATTGTATGTTAAATGTATTTGATTTTCATTTTAAATCTTGCCTTGACGAAAAGATTATTTTATTATAGATAGAGCAAATGGAAATGGAACTGTTAAATACACAACAATCAACACGCACACGCCTTCAAGCAAGATTAAGAGGGCATAAGAGTGATCTAGAGAAATTGAAACGTGATTTGGTAAATGATTATAATAAATTTTTTTAATAAAGTTTAATATTCTAATTAATTTTTATCGTTCAGAAAAGAGCTAGTTCTCGTGTTTCCGGGCCAACAGATCGTGAAGAACTACTTGCTGGCACAAATGGAACTGATCTTGATAGTGCTTCTATGGATCAACGTGCTCGTCTTTTAACTGGAACCGAAACTTTGGCTGATAGTAGTCGTAGATTACAAGATAGTCATAGAATTGCTTTAGAAACCGGTAATTAATCCAAAACATTTTTTATTTTATTTTGAAATATATTAATTTTTTTTTTTTTTATAGAAACTATCGGTGCTAATGTTTTGGAAGATATTCGTAGACAAAGAGAACAAATCTTACATAGCAGAAATACCGTATGTTTTTTCATACATGTTTATGAAAGTTTATAAAATTTCGTGGAATTAAATATTTTACTAAATTTTGTAGTTAATGGAAGCGGATTCATATATTGACAAAGCTCAACGTACTCTTAAGGGCATGGCTCGCAGGTGATTTATTTATTTTATTTTATTTTATTTGTATTTAAATTTATTATTTCCAACCAACAAATTTACTGTTACTTTTAGGATGCAAACTAACCGTATGATAACTGCTGTCATTATCATAACACTTGTTGCTTTGATTTTATTTGTACTCTATGTAAAATTATTTAAATAATTGTTAAAGTTGCGTTATTATATATATATGGAAAATATGCGAATTATATCAGATATTAACAGTTAATTATAAGGCGGGTTTTCTTTTATTTATTTATTAAAATTTAATAAACATAATTTACATTAGCATAAATGAATTTTGATAGTTAATACACATTAAACTCGCTCTTTAATCGATAAACCATGATTTAAGGTAACTCTCTTAATGGGTCAAACCGTTAACTATGAATTACTAACTAAACCTAGTTCGGTTTTGGAAAGAAAAACATACCCAATGATTAAACGCATACATATCATTCAGAATCAGCTTTTTATGTCATAATAAATTGAGATGTCATATTTGGGAAATCGTACAAGCAGTTGATTATCATCATCATCTAACACACTTTATTATCACGTGAACAAACCATCGATATTTTATTTCCTTATTATGTAGAATGATTAGAGTGGAAAAAGAACAAGGTAATACCTACCTTATTTCTTCAAAATATAACTTCTTTTAAATTATTACCTGCACTTTAATAGTTTAACTCACAGTTTTATCCTTTACAATTTAGAATTTATCATATTTTGTTTAAAACATACAAAAACGAACAAATGACATTTAAACAAAAATATTTTACCGATGTTATTACCATGATTCATTTCCATGATTTTATCCAAGTTCGGTGTAATACTCACCGTTCTTAGCTATTGGATACATTTATAATATCATTAAATATTTTGATGTGTTTCTTGATGTTAATCAACAACACTTACCCCACACTTACCCACAAACCAATAAAAAATTTTTTGCGAAAGTAAAAAATAAATGAAAGTAACAAATTATTACCTATTGTTACCTATGATTTTACCTATTTATATAATAAACAAAATAACATACGTAATTTTTTGTGGTGTCCTTACCAATTAACGCATAATCTAAATAAGGAAATATTAATCGAACTTTTTTTTTGCAAATACAAACCATAAGCCTACCCGTCATTTAATTATGTATTACCATATTTGAACTCGTGATTTCAAGGCTAAAAACGACTTACCCTCCAGAATTACCATTATAAATAATAATATATATACTGACTATTCATAAACCACTAAACTTGTTTAATTTACCTCCTTCTATCCCTACCTTTCGACCCATATCTATCATCTCTGTATCGCCCAGGACTTCTTGAACGACTGCGACCACTACGTCGTCTATAATCTCGATCCCGATCATAGCTACTTCCATAACCACCATGCCTACTACCATATCTAGACCCATTACTACTACTACTATATCCGTACCCCCCGCTTGTTCCCCCTCGAGAATGACTACGATAATCTCTATCATGAGAAGAAACTGGAGGAGGATGACTTGTATGAATAGCGTAGCTACCTTCTCTACCTGAATATTTTTGATTTTGTTCAGGACCCCCGATACGTGTTCCACCAAGTCCACCACCTTATATTATTTTATGTTAGTGTTTATTTCATTATGAATAATTATTATTAGTAATGATCAATTTTTCAAGTAATAGCAAACAAATACTTACCTAATCGACGTGGTCGCCAACCCTTAACGGTCCTTCCACGTTCTACATCAACTAAAATACGTCTACCCAGGAGTTTGACACCGTCTGCATCTTTATAGGCAGCTAATAATTTTCGTGAAGAATTATTTCGTATACGTATATAGATTTTTAAAGAATGATAAACACAGCTATAAATAATAATTTACCTTTCATATCTTTTTCTCTTTCGAATTCAACGAAAGCATAACCTCTAGGTTTGCCATCATCTTTTCTTTTTACAATTCGTATCTATTCCAAATAGAATTAAAATCAATATTAAATTTATAGGGTAATTCGGCGAAATGGACGATTCGGCGAAATGAATTCGATAAAATGCCATCACTACAGAAATATTTGTCAAAAAATCTTACGTTTTCGATAGGACCATACATCTCGAATTCACGTCGTAAATCTTTTTCTGTTATGTCAAATGACTAAAGCATTAAATAAATTAAGCATTGTTGTGAAAAATTATTTTTTAAAAAATAAACCAAATAATAGAATAACATATCGTACCATTCTTGCAACGAACAAAGTCTTGAATGGATCACCAGTGACATTTTCATCTTTGTTAGGATCCCCTATTATGGTATTTATGCAAACGTAATATCAAATCTAATGATTTTGTAAATTCGTTGATAAATTAGGACACTGAAAATAACTTACATTCTTCAAGTCCTTTCTTGATGGCTTCCTCTGCCTTTTTCTTTTTTTCAGCGAGCTAATGATAATGGAAAAAAATACATGAACGACAGATCTGAGGTATAAGATAAAAAATCTGCTATTTACCTTACGCTTTTTCTTCTCTTCGACCGTTTCTGTTGGTACGTATTCTGGATCATAGTCCTTCAACAATGGAACATATTGACCAACTCCAGTAACTGTAGGTCCTTTGCGTTTAACAGGGTCTCTATCCAATGGTTTTGCATAAGGAAGGGGGGGTCGAGGCGCAAAAAGCGCCAACAGGTTATGTGGTAATTTATCAGTCATGACTTGAAATGAAAGAAAAAAAATTTTTTTTTTTGGTTTATACAATATATGTTTTTGTATCTTGTGACACGATTATATAATAAAATTGACCAATTACGATCGTTTATGAGAATTTTATCTTTTATTGTATTTGATAAATATTGTAAAAAGAAGTAAAATCAATCACAAATTATTCGCTTAAATAAATTATCTGTAAAATGCATAATAATCTAATATTATGCAATGTTTTGAAACGTATAAGATAGCAAATTTAATTACATTTACTAACTTATATCGAGTATTTATTACGTAAACAATCCTCCAAATTGACTTGCATAAGCCATAGGACGAATATTAGGATGAGGCTAATATTAAATATAAAAATGAAGTTAAATCAAAGTTTTAAGAAAGGCACGCTTTATTAAAAATTCAAACATACCACAGCCTCAAAGGTTTTATAATCCAACTTCAAATCAGAAGTAATATTAATTATCGCGCCTTTATTCCCGATTGTGTCACTAGTAACGCGTAGAATATTATGGTTGATTACTTGCAAAATAAAATAATAACGATGTCTAATAATGCTTACCAATAATTTGGGGCCGAAAAAACAGTAATACATTTTCCATTATGTTCAATCACATAGCCATTTTCTTTAACTTCATGACTTCTTATTAAGAGTTCTAAAAGAATATAATCTCAATATTGACTACTATAGGATTATGAATCTAAATTATGATCATTCATACCGAGATTATTACGCTTCAAAAAGTTTTCGGTAACGTCAGGTCCAAACTGTATTCCAACACCTCTCTTGCTTGGGCCTCGTCCAGGTTGAGGTTGTGGGTCTTGAGAAATAACAAATTTAGACTAAGAGAAAACTTTGTTAAAAGAGTACTAAACTAAATAACATACCAGACCAAAGCAATTCACACATCAAACTTCCATGATCTAATTGTTTCTTGCCAAATCGGTCAATATTTCTTATATCATCTAATGTTACATCATCACGACTAAATAATCCACCATGAACTACCAAAATTTTTTGGTTAATAAGATGGGCTAAGGGCAAAGTACTAAACGTTTCGGAAAACAACTCAAACATTTCTTCCGAGAATTTAGCTTTAACTTCTCCTTCAAAACCATAAACTTTATTCATATCATCTGTCTCATGATTTCCTCTAGTCAGATAAAGTGACTTTGGGTAAAGCCATTTGTAGGCGAACAAGGTCAATATGACCTCAAGACTAAATGAACCACGATCAACGAAATCTCCATTAAAAAGATACATATTTGTTTCAGATGGTACACCGTTAATTTTGAAAATGTTAATAAAATCATAATATTGACCTATTAAAAAAATAGTTTTATTAAGTATTCGATAACTTTCGCCATATTTACGAATCGCTATTTAACATACCATGAACATCACCGCATACAGTCAAATTTGAATCTTGAGGTATGGTTATATCAACCAATGACGGTGTTTCTAACATAATTTTTCTGACTGCTAAAATAATCTGGTCATGGTAATAATTTTGCCATTATTCCAAATAATAATATCGAATACATATGAAATACAACAAGCGCAATAGAAAAGTAAATTACTTACTTGAAATGCATGCTTCTTATGAATTCTCTTTTGATTTTTGAAACGCTCCATCATTTCTTCAATGAATTCTTTCGTGATTTTTCCATCTTCGAGCTTTGGTCCATCGTACGAAGGTTCCACCACTGTAAAGACATTACATAAGGATGTAAATAAAAGATCTAACATTTATTTCTCAATCATAATACACAACACTTACCGATCGTGTTTACGTCGAACGTCTCTGCAAGATTCTTTGGGGAATCTACCTATTAAATCAATTGAGTAACAGGTAAATCATCACTTATTTCATAGAATTAATTATATAATTAACAATAGAATACCTCAATTGCTTTTTCGAATGCCATCCTTTTTACGATTTTCTCGCATTCTGTAAACTTTGCCTTGGCATCTTTATCGTCGGGGGATCTTTTCATAACCTGTCAAAATAGACAGGCTTCGGATTACCATGAATAATCATAAGATAGATTGGATATAAGGTCTAGGTCTGTTTTCAAATAAAGTCCTCACAATTCGAAAATCCCGAAGCGCGTCTTTAAATTTACATAAATTCATATTTGCTGCCGCTCTTCGATAATATCCCTATCAAACAAAAAGAAAAGTCAATACGATTTTTTCGAGCGTACAATTGCAGATTTTTAATACAAGCAGAAAAATTTTAACCTTAGTATATGATGGATCAAGTTTAATTGCCTTATCCGCGTCTGTAATAGCGTATCCAAATGCTTCAGTTTTGAAATAGGCAAAAGATCGATTGGCATAGTATGCTGCAACGTTTGGATTCAGGTTAATTGCTTCTGAATATTTTTCAATCGCAGCTTCATACTTCTTGGCTAAAATAATAAAGTTAAAACCAGATCAAATATGATAACAACTGCTTCGTTCGAAATCCGTAAAGTATTGAATAACTAAAAGTTTCAAACCCAGAAACAGTTTATTAGCAGCTTCTTTAATTTCCTCGGCTTTGATTTTATTCTCTTCTAAAACGGAAGTATTTTGATTGCCATTCGGTTCGTTACTCATTTTGTCGTTTGGTTAAAGGAAAACTTAAAAAAAAACCCTCTAAATTTAGCATTTATCAAGTTGTGTAATGTCTGTCATCTACTTTAATGATAAAATGCACGTGTTGATCATAGATATTGCTAAGGAATTTTGGAAGGTCGAAATTATTTAATATATTTAGATTGAGTACCGGTAATCTTTATTCATCAATGGCACCGAAAGTATTATTAACTATGATGTTACCACCAGACTCACAAAAGCTTATAGAGAGTGCCAAAGATATTGAACTTGTTTATTGGGACAAACCAGGAGCAATTCCACGCGAGAAATTCTTGGAGTTGGCGAAAGGTAAGTTACGCTATCATTTACTACAAATTTACTAAAAATAACGTTTCTGTATTTCTTTTGAAGGCGTCGATGGAATTTTATGTATGTCGTTCGATAAAATTGACTCTGAATTACTCGACGCAGCTGGGCCGAATTTAAAAGTAGTCTCGACTATGTCAGGTTGCAATTTCCACAAGTTTTACTATTCTTGGATGACTTATTCATGAAAATGATTAACTCTGTTTAGCTTTGATTAAAAGTTGGATATGACCATGTCGATTTGAGTGAACTTCGTAAGCGTTTGATTTCTCTAGGACATACACCAGGAGTGCTTACAGACGCTGTGGCGGTGAATATTTTTTTCATTCTTTTCATTCTTAAGCAGATTTTCATTAAATATATTATTCTCCAATTAATAAAAATCGTTTTTAAATAAATAAGGATATCACAGTTTTATTAGTTTTAGCCGCCGCGCGAAGAATACGCGAGGTAAACCGTTTATTTGTTTTTTTTGGCGATTAAGTTATGTGTATTTAAAGCTTTTATTTTATCAAGGGATTTCGAGCAGTAGAAAAGGGAGAATGGATTTGGAGTACAACATGGATGCTTGGTATGTCGTTTACTTTTTTAATCATTCCGATTTATTTCTAACTTTATTTATTTTACGCTCAGGGGTACAGTTAACAAACAAAACAATTGGAATTGTTGGGTTAGGTCGTATAGGATCTGCCATCTAGATGTGTATAAGAGACAGGTTGTGCACTGAATGAAGAGACGAAAGAAATGTTTAATTACGAAGTTTTCAAGAAAATGAAGAGTAATGTGGTATGTAATTATATAATTTCAATTTGGACCATGGAACAAATATGATATAATATTAGAATCATAAATCAAATAACATTAGATTCTTNCGATTTATTTCTAACTTTATTTATTTTACGCTCAGGGGTACAGTTAACAAACAAAACAATTGGAATTGTTGGGTTAGGTCGTATAGGATCTGCTACTGCCTTACGACTAAAACCTTTTAATGGAAATAATGGGAAAATAATTTAATTTGGACGTGTTGAAAAACCTATAGCTTCCTCTCTAGGTGCGACTAAGGTAGAATTTGACACTCTAATACGTGAGTCAGACGTAATTTGTATTTGTTGTGCACTGAATGAAGAGACGAAAGAAATGTTTAATTACGAAGTTTTCAAGAAAATGAAGAGTAATGTGGTATGTAATTATATAATTTCAATTTGGACCATGGAACAAATATGATATAATATTAGAATCATAAATCAAATAACATTAGATTCTTGTAAATACAGCGCGTGGAGGAATTATCCGTCAAGATGAACTTTGTCGAGCTTTGTCAGAAGGGATGCTTGGTAGTGTAGGTATAGATGTTGTAACACCAGAACCGTTGAATCCAAATGATCCACTTTTGAAATTCGATAAGGTTACAGTTGTTCCACATATTGGTAGCGGAACTTTAGAAACACGTACTATGATGGCCGATATTGCTATTGAGAATGTTTTGTCTGGTGTTAGAGGAGAAACTTTGCCGCACGCTGTGAACGTAAATTTTGATATAAAATAGTTAAAATAGTAATGATTTTTACGTTTTTATGCAACGTAAATCTTTCAAATTAATAATTATTCTGTGTTACGTTGATGAGATCGTACATCGTCACACTTTGTCTCAGTCCCTCATTGTCTCATTGTATAAATGATTTTATGGTTTTTTTTTTAGAAAAAATAGAAAAAATATAGTACTTTAATGACTCATTACTCCTTGGCATTTATTAAACATAATTAGAAATTTCATAATGAATTTTTAGTTAATTATTTCTTGGAAGGATTTTTTTGCTTACCCTATTAGTTTAACAAAATACGCAAAAATGATAATTCCGGCTAGATCGAAAAAAATATTTAAGGCTTTGCCTCTACCGCTTCTAGAATTATGAAGAGGAGGTTGAATTATTTCTTATGTTTAAAATTTACATGAATAATGACTACTCAATATCATGCGCAGTCTGAAGATAAAATTATTACTTACGAAGAGGAACGTAAAGAAAGAAAAGCCAAGCTGATCTTCTTGATTATCATTGGAATTCTTACAGCCGCTTATGGGGTAATGAATTTTATTTCTCTTAGGAAAAACTGAACTAAACTAACCGATGTTTATCACGTCATATGGGCATAATAAGTCATGGAATTTCTACAGAATGTATGTTGCGGTTCACAACCCTGTGGTCACGATGAAAACGAGCATAAGGTGAATATATATCTCACAGATATGCATACAAATTAATGAAACAGAATTTTGCTAAAACTCAGTCTTTTTTATAAAGGCAAAGTATACCGGTAAATATTTTCCTTTCAATAACTGAAAAATAACCATAAAAACTCGAGAAAATTAAATATTATTGATTAGGTTCCAGGTAATTTTCTCAATGTGAGCATACTATGTTATACGCGATAATGTTTATAATTTTAAAAAAATTTAAAGGCGTGGTGATTTGTGGGAAAACGCTGAATATGCAACCCAGATGTTATAAATCGGAGTTTAATGTAAGTTTATTTTGAATTTTTTAATTAAACCATTTTTGTTAATTTCGCTTTACTTTTAACGAATAGGCTGCGGATGATGACTATCAGTTGGTACGCGTTTTACGCGTTGATAAATGGATAAATGATTTTTCAAATAGTGATTGATCTACTTGATCTGCGATTAATTTTAATATAGGGTNAACGTTTGGATTCAGGTTAATTGCTTCTGAATATTTTTCAATCGCAGCTTCATACTTCTTGGCTAAAATAATAAAGTTAAAACCAGATCAAATATGATAACAACTGCTTCGTTCGAAATCCGTAAAGTATTGAATAACTAAAAGTTTCAAACCCAGAAACAGTTTATTAGCAGCTTCTTTAATTTCCTCGGCTTTGATTTTATTCTCTTCTGAAACGGAAGTATTTTCGGTTCGTTACTCATTTCGTCGTTTGGTTAAAGGAAAACTAAAAAAAAAACCTCTAAATTTAACATTTATCAAGTTGTGTAATGTCTGTCATCTACTTTAATGATAAAATGCACGTGTTGATCATAGAGATTTCTACTATTCCACTGAAATGTTGAAATGTTAAGGAATTTTGGAAGGTCGAAATTATTTAATATATTTTGTTCGAGAAATCTTTATTCATCAATGGCACCGAAAGTATTATTAACTCAGATATTACCACCAGACTCACAAAAGCTCATAGAGAGTGCCAAAGATATTGAACTTGTTTATTGGGACAAAACAGGAGCAATTCCACGCGAGAAATTCTTGGAGTTGGCGAAAGGTAAGTTGCGCTATCATTTACTACAAATTTTACTACAAATTTTACCAAAAATAATGTTTCTGTACTTCATTCGAAGGCGTCGATGGAATTTTATGTATGTTGACCGATAAAATTGACTCTGAATTACTCGACGCAGCTGGGCCGAATTTAAAAGTAGTCTCGACCATGTCAGGTTGCAATTTTCACAAGTTTTACTATTCTTGGATGACTTTATCATGAAAATGATTAACTCTATTTAGCTTTGGTTAAAAGTTGGATATGACCATGTCGATTTGAGTGAATTTCGTAAGCGTTCGATTCCACTAGGACATACACCAGGCGTGCTTACAGACGCTGTGGCGGTGAATATTTTTTTCATTCTTTTCATTCTTAAGCCAGATTTTCATTAAATATATTATTTTTCAATTAATAAAATCGTTTTTAAATAAAATAAATAGGATATCACGGTCTTATTAGTTTTAGCCGCCGCGCGAAGAATACGTGAGGTAAACCGTTTATTTGTTTTTTTTTTCGGCGATTCAGTTATGTGTATGTAAAGCTTTTATTTTATCAAGGGATTTCGAGCAGTTGAAAAGGGAGAATGGATTTGGAGTCCAACATGGATGCTTGGTATGTCGTGTTTACTTTTTTTAATCATTTCGATTTATTTCTAACTTTATTTATTTTACGCTCAGGGGTACAGTTAACAAACAAAACAATTGGAATTGTTGGGTTAGGTCGTATAGGATCTGCTACTGCCTTACGACTAAAACCTTTTATTGGAAATAATGGGAAAATAATTTACTTTGGACGTGTTGAAAAACCTATAGCTTCCTCTCTAGGTGCGACTAAGGTAGAATTTGACACTCTTATACGTGAGTCAGACGTTATTTGTATTTGTTGTGCACTGAATGAAGAGACGAAAGAAATGTTTAATTACGAAGTTTTCAAGAAAATGAAGAGTAATGTGGTATGTAATTATGTAATTTCAATTTGGACCCTGGAACAAATATGATATAATATTAGAATCATAAATCAAATAACATTAGATTCTTGTAAATACAGCGCGTGGAGGAATTATCCGTCAAGATGACCTTTGTCGAGCTTTGTCAGAAGGGATGCTTGGTAGTGTAGGTTTAGATGTTGTAACGCCAGAACCGTTGAATCCAAATGATCCACTTTTGAAATTCGATAAGGTTACAGTTGTTCCACATATTGGTAGCGGAACTTTAGAAACACGTACTATGATGGCCAATATTGCTATTGAGAATGTTTTGTCTGGTGTTAGAGGAGAAACTTTGCCGCACGCTGTGGAAGTAAATTTTGATACAAAGTAGTTAAAATTTTATGCAACGTAAATCTTTCAAATTAATAATTATTCTGTGTTACGTTGATGAGATCGTACATCGTCACACTTTGTCTCAGTCCCTCATTGTCTCATTGTATAAATGATTTTATGGTTTTTTTTTTAGAAAAAAATATAGTACTTAATGACTCATTGCGGAAGTTTACTCCTTGGCATTTATTAAACATAATTAGAAATTTCATAATGAATTTTTAGTTAATTATTTCTTGGAATTAAAAGGAGGATTTTTTTTTGCTTACCCTATTAGTTTAACAAAGAAATTGTTACGCAAAAATGATAATTCCGGCTAGATCGAAAAAAATATTTAAGGCTTTGCCTTTACCGCTCCTAGAATTATGAAGAGGAGGTTGAATTATTTCTTATGTTTAAAATTTACATGAATAATGACTACTCAATATCATGCGCAGTCTGAAGATAAAATTATTACTTACGAAGAGGAACGTAAAGAAAGAAAAGCCAAGCTGATCTTCTTGATTATCATTGGCATTCTTACAGCCGCTTATGGGGTAATGATTTTTATTTCTCTTAGGAAAAACTGAACTAAACTAACCGATGTTTATCACGTCATATGGGCATAATAAGTCATGGAATTTCTACAGAATGTATGTTGCGGTTCACAACCCTGTGGTCACGATGAAAACGAGCATAAGGTGAATATATATCTCACAGATATGCATACAAATTAATGAAACAGAATTTTGCTAAAACTCAGTCTTTTTTATAAAGGCAAAGTATACCGGTAAATATTTTCCTTTCAATAACTGAAAAATAACCATAAAAACTCGAGAAAATTAAATATTATTGATTAGGTTCCAGGTAATTTTCTCAATGTGAGCATACTATGTTATACGCGATAATGTTTATAATTTTAAAAAAATTTAAAGGCGTGGTGATTTGTGGGAAAACGCTGAATATGCAACCCAGATGTTATAAATCGGAGTTTAATGTAAGTTTATTTTGAATTTTTTAATTAAACCATTTTTGTTAATTTCGCTTTACTTTTAACGAATAGGCTGCGGATGATGACTATCAGTTGGTACGCGTTTTACGCGTTGATAAATGGATAAATGATTTTTCAAATAGTGATTGATCTACTTGATCTGCGATTAATTTTAATATAGGGTGCTAGCTGTGATCGATATCTGACGAATTACGATTCTAGAATGGACGCAACGCGTGAGTAAGAAATTTTTATTTAACTTTTAAAATAAAGTAAATCTAAGTAAAACCTAATCTTTTTGATTATTTCATAAAAAAGAGTTTATTAACATGCGAGGGTTTAATAATCTTACTTTATTTAACTGTTGTAAGTATAAGAATTTTAAATATATCTCAAATTCAAGAGCTAAAAAATTATTGACTCTCTTATTTTAGTTATATTGAATCCATACCAGAAGGATGATGGTTTAGTCTTTGATAATTCTACTCAAAAGATTGCGCTCGCGTTATGGTCTACTGAAAAGGCTAACAATACGGTATTTTATATTATGAGCTCTAAGTGTTATTATAATTTCTTTTGACGTAAATTTTCTATTTAATAGCAATTCAATATTACTAAAGACGAATGGTTCTTTTATGGGACCTTTACTGAGGTAACCCTTTACAATAATATGCTGCTGTATAAAAAATTATTTACTAATTTTAATTATAGCGGGACAATCCATATAGAGTTAGATTCCAAATTGTAAAAATGGTTGGTCAGATTTTTTTTTGTCTTAGTCACGTGTTCTATGAAACAATCTTTGATTAAATTAAAACTATAGCCTTCCATCAGTTACATTTATTTCAAAAGAGAAGAACACTACAATATCTCTCGATCAGGTACATATGGCACATAATTTCAATTTAACGAAAAATAAATTTTTACCAATTATTGGCAATTATTGGAATAATAATTATCAAGGCGCCATATTCGGCGATGCAACATCATCGGATGTTAAATCAAACGCAAAAGTAGCAATTGAAACAACATTTGCAAGTTTCGATCTAACCGGGTTTGCTATTAGTCCAAATTTGTGGGAGATACTTAGGTAAATAAAATACGGCACTTTGAATATTATTTTATTTCGTCATTTACCTTTTTTTTTACTTAGAATTGTTCCTTCGAAATATGTCACGAACCCGGGTACCAATACTCAAGAATATCCAGTATCAGTAGTTTATAATCGCGTTGAATTTACACTTCTTCAATTGGTGAACTATATGTTTTTTTATTTAATTTTTTATTCCTGAACTTAATTCATTTATTTGTATTATTTCTAATGAAGGCGGCTAATATGGGAGGGTTTGTATCAATTCTAAGTGCCGCCTATTTTATCTTATTTGGTTCCCAACGAGTTAATCCTTGGGGTATAGTACAACGCCATATACTTAAAAGTGTTCCAACCGTACCACCAGTTTATATGCCATCAATTAACGATAATTTGGAAAAAGGGTATCTGTCTCTCTCACAAACATTCCACAATAATGGACCTCAACATACATCTGAACTTCCTCTTCCTGTTTTTAACCGTCAAGTTACAGAAGATTATATTGCACAAGGTGGCTTACTTACAAATGTACCAATATCACCTCATGTTGATTTTTTTTCCATACATACAGTAACCCTATCATAACTCTATCACGTGACACATTTTTAATTAGACATACAGAGAATTCGTCATGAACTTAGAGCCGAAGTTCAGCTGACTATAGCGCGTGAATGTTAGTATTTTTTCTTTTTTTTTTACAATTTAATTATATGAATTCTTAGTTTCAATCTTTTTTTCAACTAAATAGTGGAAAAATTGAAATTATTTTTAAGTAAATATTACCTGAAAGATGTGATAAAGCCGAACAAACAATAAATATTTCAGTAAATTTATTTAATTTTGCACCATATCCAAAAAAGTCTTTTTCCAAACTTTGACCTAATAAAATGCCATAATTTTATTTCATGAAATGTTTTTAAATACTATGTAAATGCAATATTCTTTTTGTTTGTACTTATTATTACTTCATTATATTTAATACATTATGAATTAATAAAATTTTAAATAATCTGCATTATTTTAAAATAATAAATCTCAACATTAATTACATGTATAGTCTATAAAATGATATAAAAATTTTATAATAACTTATAGTATTATACAATAATCACTTCTCCAATGCATCCTGAACATTTTCCAATTTCAAAGACTCCACTAAATTGAGAAAATGAATATCTACGACTTGCGCTATTGGGCGGTGAAAGATTTAAATTGGATGAAGCAAGTGGTGATGAAGCTTCTAGTATACGCTTCAATTGTAATTCAAGATTTAAATTTTTTTGCCGTTCTTTAAAAAGAAGTTGTTTAAGTTCTTCTTGACTTGAATTTAGTTTTGAAGTTGACTGATTTTCTTCATAATCAAATTCACGAGTTGTGGTGCCATTTGTCGTTTTTGTTGCTGTCGTAATTTTCTTTTCTTCTTCAGTATCTATTTTCACTTCTTGAAGCTTATTTAATAATTCTTGTTCCAATCGAGTAGCTCTTGATTTTTCTTTATCCACTTCTTCGGCAAGTCGTAGTTTATCATTACTAATTTCCACAAATTTTTCACGTAATTCATTCAATTGAGCTATTGAATCGCGATTATCACTTGTCAATCCTTCGATCTTTTTTGTAAGATCTTTGATACGCTTAGTCAACTTCGAATTTTCTGACTGAACATTTTGAAGCTCTTTTGAAAGATCATCACGTTCTAAATTTAATTTTTCAATTACAGATGAATTAGACGAAACTTGTTCTGATAAAGCTAAAACTTCAGCTTCTTTAATTTTAAGAGAACTTGATATTTTTTCATTAAATAGTGCTAATTCATTTCTCTCGTCTGTCAATTTCTGAATTTCTTTAATCATTGACTCAATATTTGTCTGAGCTTCATACGACACTCGTTCTGCTTCTGAAAGTTTCTCTATGCTCTCTGAAAGCTGTTGTTCAGTATTGGTAAGTTTATGCCGCAGATTTGACAATTCTATTTCTAAAGCCTCGCATCTATTCTCTTTATCTTGAAGTGTCTTTTGTAAGGCTTCTACTTCATCAGATACTGAACGAGCATTTGCCTTTTCTTGAGTAAGTTGTTCAATAATGGAATCCTTGGTATTAAGTTGCGATATTAATTGTTTGCTATCCTTCTCTAATTGTTCAACACGAGTATTCTGTAGTATAAAAAAATTATTAAAGAGTCTAGTTGTAAAATTAATAACCCAAAATGTTTTAAAATTATTTATTACCTACCTGCAATTGTAAAGATTCCAATATCTTTTCCTTTTGTTCATCGGCTTCTTTAAGCCGTTCTTCTTTATTAAGTATTTTTTCCTCCAACTCAGCATTCTTTCGTCTTAATGCATCCACTAATAATTGACCTTCTTCTAACAATTCCTCGCTACTCTTAAATCGATCAGCCATTGCAGAATATTTTTCCAATTCTGAAGTCAAAGCATTCTTCTCGTCAACTAACATAGCAATAGCTTGTCGTTGCAACCCAATATCCTGCTTTTGTTTATTGCACAAACTAGAAAGGGATTCATACGTATAAGGTTCTTCAACTGAATTATCAGCAGAAGGAAGTATACTTTCTGCAATAGTCAAATCGATTTGTTTTGATAGGAGATTAGGTTGTGATTGCTGTCCATGTGGTTGGAAAATTGGTTGAAGTCCTTCAACCAATGATTGGCTCGTAGCTGAGGAGGACTGTGGGACATAATCTGAATAATCTCTGCATTTTTTTGGTTAAACCCAAAATAAATTAAATGCTTAAAATAATCTCGACAATAAAATTTTGCGAAAATACAATTTTGATAACTCACTGCGAAGCTTGATTTTCCACTAAATCAGGATTGGTATTTGTTGCAGAAATATTATCCTCTTCTACTACTGCAATCGTTCTGATCCATTATAAATATATAAAAATATTCATTTTAAATAAATGAAAATTTCTTCTTAACTCGTAAATTCTTAACCAAATATTTTATTTGCCATCAATAAAATAATTTACTTTCATTTTTTCCTTGGTATGGAAATCAATCTTAGATGTTCTGTATTTTCTTTTTTATTACATCATTTGGCTAATAGTTTCTTGCGTTTAACAAGAATTGTATATATCAAATATTTTTTAAGAGGAAAAAATACTCACTCTTGCCCAGTTCCATCAGTTCTAACGCTTCCAGAGTCTGATGCTACACTATTCCTTCGATCACCAGTCAATGCAACAGAATCAGAACTATCTTTACGTGTTATACTAGTAGAGTCTACTGAACTGGCTGCTTTCTTCTTTTTAAACTTCTTTAACTAAACTCCCGTAAAATAAAAACACTCTTCTTAAATTAATTGTATTTACTTTTATCATTAAAAAAAGACTTTATCTAATACCGTTTTCTTTGCAGAAGCTACTTTTTGATCTCTCGCTGCATCGCCGTCCATATTTCGTTTTAAAAAGTCATACAGGTAGGAAACCTTTTTAAATTTTATTGGTAAATTTATCAATAAATGATTGGTTAACCATCAAAAAAGTTGACACATGACATATAGCCAATAATATTTCCCCATCCCTAAAGTGACAAATCGCGGTCAAGTTCCTCCACATAAATAAAAACAGGGGACGTGACAAATATTTTACTATAATCACGTGCGCTTTTTGCGCTGTGGTAACGTAAATTTACAAGTAATGTGATTTATTAATCACTTTTCAGCTGATAAAAACATTTTCACTGTAATGACATGTTTATTAACGTTGTCCTAAAGACCTAAACGGGTTGATACGACATTTTAGGCAAGAAATACAGGCAAATATTCTTTTTCTCATCAATAAACATAAAAAATTTTTTTAATTTTAAAGAGAAATAAAGAGAAAAAAAAAAGCCAAAGAAAAAAAAAACCTTGATTTGATAAAATATTGAATATAAAAATAATACTATGAAAAAAATCCTGTCAAACAAACGTTCTTTCTTTTTTGATATCATATACGAAAAAAATGTTCATTTGTATTTTTTTTGTTTCCTTATTCAATGCGAGGAATAAGAAAAAAGAAATTTAGAAGCAAATATTTTCAACTAGTTTTTCCCTTCAATGGACTTAAAAAGTCACAATATGTTAGAAAGGAATTGATCACAATGTTTGACCCGTAGGCCCTTTCTAAAAACAAAAAAAAGAAAATAAATGCTATATAAGCTTACACGCTTGGTTTCCTTCTTTCAGATTCGAGTCTACTATACAGCAGATAAAGAGCCATTTGATTCGATTCAGGTGTTCCCGTGATGGTAACTAATCTTTCATTGGTATTACCGTGAGGTTCGGCTATTTTGATGTGCGAACCAGATAGATGCCTAATTTCATTAATTTTACTTCCACCTTTACCAATAATACACCCTACCATATCATTAGGGATAAAAATCTGTTGAGCTTGAGATCCTGGTGGAGGTTGATGATTAATTGGTGGAGGTCCGGGCATAAAATCACGTCCGTAATGTGGAGGACCCGGTGGAAGTCCGACATAGAATGGACTACCAGCAACAGGAGCCGCTTGATGATAGAGAAGTCGTGGCTGAGGTCTATAGGGGGTAATTCCTGTAGGTCTATCATTTTGATGTTTAGCCAGTTCCTCTCCGACATGGAAAACGGCAATATGAATAGAATCAGGAACCCCGCTGATAGAGATAGTACGTTCTGTTGACTGAGGAAGCATTTCTTCGGAAGCGAGACATCTTGCTCCGGACTTTTCTTGAATTTCTTTAATTTTGCATCCACCTTTACCTATTACGGGCCCCATCCGAGAATGAGGTACGAGGAGTCGGATTGTAGTGGATTTAGAATTTGGCGTAGATGGTGTATCCAAATTCTCATCCAAGATTTTACGTGCGACAAGAGCAAAGGCCTTTAAAAAATTTTTAATTTAACAATTATTTCAAGTATTAATGATATAAATTAGTTAGACAAATTAAAAAATTCCCAAAAAGGATAACTTCTAAGTTATATGTAAAGATTGTGCGTCATTTTAAACTGCAATCTCTAAATTAAGGATTACTTATGGTAATGATGAAGCTATCACGTGCAATTGATGTTAGCATAACTTTTTGTTCGTTCTATTGTGAAAATTTTGACATACCTTTGCAACAGTGTCCAAAGGACCAGTAACAGTTAAAATTCTTTCATAAGCTCCTTGTACCATTTCAGATATGGTCACTTTAGCACCAGATCTATCACGGATTTCACTAACATTCTTTCCACCTTTCCCAATGATTACCCCAGCTTCTTTAGTTGTTACAAGAGCGCGAAGCGAAATAGTAGCAAGTGTAGATTCTGTTTCAACCTTTTCTTTTTCAGCTGCTGCAGGAGAGCGAACGTTTACCTCCATAACATCACCAGTCTCTGACGGAGTTACCGGTCGTTCTTCAGCGGGTGGTTCATCGGTATAGTCTAATTCTGAAGAGTTATCGTCCTCTCCACCAGAAGTATTTAAAGCAGGACGCTTGAAACGTCCTCCTCTTTCGTCAGAACTAAGGTCGTCTTCTTCGTCGTCAGACGGAAGTGACCTTTTACGTTCAGAAGGAGAGTGGACAGTGTCTTCTCGTTCAGACATTTGTTGAGGGATTGGTATTTGTTGTGGGTAACTAGGGACACTGAAAAAGGAAAAGTGTTTGGGGTGTGAGTGTTAGGAGTGGGCTAACATGACTTGCATTGCAAAGGTACATTTCAGTGATTTCGTTGCGTGTTTAATTGTTTAGGCAAAAAAAAAGGAAACAAGTAGGACAGGGACGGTACCAAAAAGCAAGTTACTGAAAAAAGGGATTTCGTGGAGTGGTAGAGATCCGTACAGCTAACTAGATCTTATTAATCTACTGGCAAGAAAGAGCTCGTTGTGTTGGGTGGGTTTGGTTTTTTGGGTTCTAGTGCAGGTATTATTAACGTTATACAGTAGCTTATCTTCTAGTTTCTTTGCTTTGGGTTAACACTTGATTTTAAATATGTGGGGTTCTATGAGAACACCCCAATTTTGTGATCATATCAAAAATGGTTATCATTTTCAACAAAGAAATTTTTTCGATGCAAGTAATTTCTGAAACATAAAAGTTAAAAATTTTCTACTCCGAATTTGTCACCTGAAATTATGTTGTTACATAACTAGTATATCCAATAAAAATTCATTTACTTGTGTAACTGTGAACTTTATAAATATATATTTCTCGAAAATATTTTTTGAAATTCAAGATACAACTTCTTACAGTATAACATAATGATTTATAATATGTATATGTTTGATCGCCATTGTGTATGTATTTATTATCAGGATTGGCACAGACATCGTAAAAGTGGTGCAGGAAGTGGCGGTGGAGGTGGCAGTAGTGCTTTTGGCACTACAAGTACAACCACCAGTATGAATGGTCATATAGACGGTGATTCAGGCGGCTCTTCTTCTTCGCCTGCTCATAGTTCAGCAGCAAATCATCTTACCAGCCATCATTCTACAACTTCACAGCTAACAAGTTTAACAAGTATTTATTCGGAAGGTCGTATGATTAACATTGAAGAAGAAGCTAAATTAGTTTATGGTGTCGTGTTTTCTTTAAGGAATTTCGTCAGGAAACTCAGTGGAAGGTAAATAGAATTATGGAATTTGAACTTGCGATATAGAAAAGTGTTGACCATTAATCTCCAATTTCTCCAATTGATCCATTTTATTTCATAGTCAAGACGGGTTTGTAGCGTATAAAACATCGAACTATAAGCTTCATTATTATGAGACTCCAACAGGATTGAAATTTGTAATGAATACCGATCCTAGTGTAGAATCTCTTCGCCAAATATTAAGACAGATTTATACAAACTTTTATGTAGAATATGTTGTAAAAAATCCTTTGTCTCCCTCAGAACATCCTGCAGGTGAGGGTGTTAATAATGAATATTTTAAGGCAGCAATTGATAAATTTGTAAAAAGTTTACCTTCCTATGAATCTTAGAAGTTTGTTATTGTTAATTGCTTTAGAGAAAATAATGTTATAATCTTGGAAAAAGCCAAACCCAATATTTTATTTAATAATAATAGTTTTTAATATATTCATATAAATTGATTTGGAATTAAGGGAAAAGAATTATATTTTATGCTTGTATTAGCCATAAATTCATTAATAGTTTATAAACATTTCATCTTAGAAACTGTTTAAAAAAATTTAACCGGTTAATCCATTAAATAAATAATGCTCTTTCGACTTTTAAGTCAAATTTCTTGCGACTTCAAAAAGCGTAACAAAGTTGATACATCTCAAGGAAACACAATCAGCCATGATTAATTCATTTTATTTAGGACAATTGTTAGATCAACTACATATTCCAAGCGAACGACTTAGATATAAATTATCGTAAATTATTTAACATTTCATCTGATTTATTTGATTGTTTCAATTCTTTAGGATTATATTCTTTAAATTTCTTCTTTTATTGACTGCGCCAGCGACAGTCTAGTTAACATTAATCATGTGATACGTACACATGATGCTCAATTTAATATAAATTGATCGATAAAAATTTTTAGATGAAAAGTTCTTAAAATGGTATCCAACACAAACAACTCTTTAGAATCTATGTCAACGAATACTCCTGTAAGTAATAGCAGTATCGTTAATGATGTAGGGCAAAAGATTGAAAGTTTAGTGATAGATTCTGGTCCTCTAATTAAAGGCATAAATGTTCGAGCATTTGCAGAAAAAATTTACACTATACCTGAAGTTATTTCTGAAATTCGAGATAAACATTCTCGTGATTTTTTAAATCAAATTTCATTTAATCTTCAGATTAAAGTACCTTCAGATGAGGCATTAAAAGAAGGTTTTTATTTATGATATTTATATACGAAAAAATTTTTTTTTCTGAAAAAAATAAATATATTTAATATATCTTAATTTTATTTTATTTTATTTTTTTCAGTTGTAAATTTCTCAAAAAAAACTGGCGATTTTGCCAGTTTATCTGCTGTAGATTTGAGAGTTTTGGCATTGACCTATATGTTGGAAGTTGAAGCTAATGGTACTAAACGGTTAAGAAAAGAGCCCATCAAAGTAAATACAATCAATTAAAAATTTGAAGCAATTCTGTCACAGATGTTAATGAATTAATCATCTTAATTTAATTTTTTTTTTAAGTCTTTTACGAAATTTGGTGGGAATAACAATAATTCCAACAAAAATTTTAAAAAGAAACCTTTAAATAAACCTGAATCGATGGAAATTATTAATAAACGGGAACAGCAGCAACAAATTGATGAAACAAATTTAGTGTCAAATTTGGAAAGTTTGAAACTCACAGATATTACAGCTGAATTTTCAAGTTCAGAAGGAATGGATCATCAAAGAGATGCTGTTAGCAACCTTTACCAAGTTGAAAATTCTGAACAATTGAATAACATTGACTTTAATAATGATTGTTCCTTATCAAAAGATGAGCCAATTGTAGAAATTTCGGCGCATAATGCTGAAAGGTATAATACTTCAATACATGTCTCAGATCAAAATTCTATTAATCAAAAAAGGAATGAGATATCGGATGTCCATCAAGACGAAGAATATGGTGATGATGATATTGGATGGATAACTCCAGATAATATTAATGATTATCAAGCAAAAGAACATGAATTTCTCATCAATTTGAAGAAAGATAATCTTGAAAATGTTAAAATTGCTTGTATGACGACGGATTATTCGATGCAAGTATGTAAAGTTGACTTAAGACATTTTTCTATGAGCATCTTATCATACATTATGTTTTATTCAAAAAGATTTTTTTTTTTTTACAAGAATGTTTTGTTACAAATGCGACTAAATTTGATATCAGTTGAAGGAAAGAGAATTAGAAAAGTGAAGAATTGGGTTCTTAGATGTCATGCTTGTTTCAAGTATTAATATATTATTATAATTGTTTGTCTTAGTACTATTTTATCTCATTTATAATTCTTTTTCTATAATACATAGAATAACTACAAATATGGAAAAAAAATTTTGTCCTAACTGTGGAAATGCAGCTTTAATTCGTACATCAACAAGTACGGACGTGAATGGTAATGTGACATATTACTTGAAAAAGAATTTTCAATACAATTTACGTGGAACTAAGGTAGTTTATTTTTTTACATCTAACAAAAAAAGAAAGAAAAGAAAAGTACCAAATAATTTATTATTCTTTTTTTTAAAGTATTCAATACCGGAACCGAAAGGTGGTCGTAATGCTAGTAATATTATCCTTCGAGAAGATCAAAAGGAATACCAAAAAGCATTAAAGAACCAAAGAAAACAAAAAGAAATTGATATATTTGATCCAGATTATATTCCAAAACTTTTAATTGGATCAAGTAATTCAAAATCTATTTCCCCTGTAATTGGTTATGGTCGTAGAAATCCAAATGAAGCTAGACGAGGAAAAACCAAAGGGAGAAAAAAGCGATAAAAAATTTTCACAAAATGTTAAGCTAATGACCTATAATCATATAAATCTCGTCACTGCACGAAATTTTAGTAATAAATAAATTATTTAAATAAATTACTTTCTTCCCTGATAGTTAAGTAAAAAAAGTTAAAAAATGATAAGCTACTTTTCATTCGATTTCACAGTTTTAGGAAGTGTTTTTTTATAAACACCAGTGACAGGAAGTACTTCTGAAATAGATTATTTCTAAAAGAATTTAATTTCTACCACATGTTTTACATAAGAAATTAAAGCAATCTATATATTATTTAATGAACTATTTTATAAAAAGCCAAAATCAAAATTTGAAACAAAATAGATATCTTTTTTTATTTTTAAATGAAAAAATTTGAAGATAAAGTTCATGTTCATCTATATTAAGAAATATTAGAGAAGCTGATTTATCAAGAAAATAACAAGAAAAATTAAGAAATGAAAATAAAAAAACATTAGAAAATAAGAAATTTGTAGTTTTAACTAATAATTTTTAAATAATGCAAAAAAAAAAGTTGATATAAATTACAAATGTTTCAAATCACATTATTGATTAATCTAATTTAATTAATTTATTTGATTCATTTAATCCAATTAACTTTTTATTTAATCTGAATAATCCATTTAATCCATTATTAAATCTAGTTAATTTATTTAAATTATTAATAAATCTTTAATTTACTTGATTTATTTAATTCAATTACAGTAACAATTAATTTACTTAAACTCAATCTAATTAATCAAATTAATTCTATTTATTTTTTTAAGCTTTTTAATATATAATTTTTTTATATTTTTTCATCTCTTAAAGTATAAAAATTGCTGAAATATCAATACTTTTAGGAGTTTAAATCAGTCTTATTAGGATCCCAAAAACTATATATAAAAGTTGTTTTAAAAAACCAAAAATTTTATATGAACTTTACCTAGAATCCTATTGGCTAATGCTAACTGATTAAAAAAGGAAAAAATTCATAATAAAATTGGTGTAATATTCCTTTTATGTATTTAATTTAACTAAATATAACAAAATCTTTAAAAAATTTTCCTTATAGCTTTACCAATTTTAACAGTAACCTGTCTATAGAATTTCTGGGATTCTGTTTTATTATTTTTTTATGACTTTTTTTCTTGCACTTATAACTACTATATATACAGTATATAATAATTTGTTAACAATAAAGCTATAAAAAGAAGTAATATTAGAAAGATTAGAAAATAGTTAACATTGGATATTAAATGTAATAATTAATAGTCAAATTTCAAGATAGAAAGAGTTGTAAATAAACTTTTTATAAATAAAAATTTCATTATCTTTATATAAAATAATACTTTATATCCTAATAGTTCCATTTTATTTGCAATTTTAGTTGATATTAAGCTTAAATATAAGTTACTTTACTAAAAATGGCCAATTTTTTGAAATATTTTTATAGACCTAGATACAATGGCTTTCAAAACAATTGTGCAATTATTTTGTAAAATTTTTAAAATATATCAAGATATATTTAAGGTATTTTTGAGATTAAAATATTAAAATAATATCAAAGTTAATTATATTATAATAATAAAATAATAACAAAAATATTAAAAAATTATTGTAATATTATTTTGAGTTATTTTTATAGACCTAGATACAATATAATTACAAAATAATAACAAAAATATAATAAAAACATTTTGATGTATTAAATGTATTTTTGTAGTATTTTAAAATTATTACAAAATCATTTCAAAAAATTGGCCATTTTTAGTAAAGTAATTCTACTATATAATAAAAAAATCTATTTTACTCTGATTTCTGAAACAGTAGTAAATAATACTTTCTAAAAGAAAGTATTAAACCATTTCTGAATACTAAAGTAAAATAAATGCTAAAATCAATTTTTAGTTAAAAAATCAATTTTTAGCATTTATTTTACTTTAGTTACTTTAGTTAAAAAGTTAATTTTTTTTTACATTAAAATTAAAAATTTATATATAATTTTATTATTAATAAAATATAAAAATACTTTAAAATTAAAATAAATATAAAATTGTTAATAAAAATAACTAATTTTATTAATTTTTAGGTGTTCAGTTATTTTTGGCAATTCACTGTATATCTGTTTAAAACAATTTTCTTATTAAAAAGATATTTTTTTTTATATTAAAAATGATCAATGAAAAAGCAAAAAAAAAAAATAATAAAAAATTGGTTTAAATAAATTAAACTGTATGTTTGATAGAAAATATCAAATATATATTAATCCAAATTAAATAAGACAATGTAATTATATATATTTAAATGTATATTTAAATGTATAATAAAAAATTTATAAGCTATTGATTTAGCAAAAATTGCATCCTGATTATTAAAAATAATGAAATTATCAAATTTTTAATATATCTTATTATGCAAAATTATTATTAAAGAAAGAATTACTAAATTGCAAATTAAAAGAAATAAGTTGAAAATAACATTAAAACACAATAGTATTTTTATAAAATATGACAAATTTAGTATTATTACTTATTAGTATATTCAATATTTAATTAAATAATTTTTGTATTACTATTTTATTATTATTATCAGTTATTAAAATTCTGAATCAGGTCAGGTTAATTGATAAATCTGACCTGAAATTTTTTTTTAGGTCATATCAGATTATCTATTTAGCCTGACCTGAACTGAAACCTAAAATTTTCAGGATTTTTTAAAAAAAAAATGGTGCAACCCATTTTTTTTCGAAATATTGCGATTCACTTTTTTATAATAAAATCATATAAAAAGGTGAATCGCAATACCGCAATTCACTTTTTATATATAGAATTAATATAAAAGGTGAATACCAATATCGCAAATCATTTTTATTATATAAAATTAATATAAAAAAGTGAATTCCAATATCGCAACTCACTTTTATTATATAAAATCAATATAAAAAAGTGAATTCCAATATCGCAACTCACTTTTATTATATAAAATCAATATAAAAAAGTGAATTCCAATATCGCAACTCACTTTTATTATATAAAAAATCAATATAAAAAAGTTAATTCCAATATTGCAACTCACTTTTATTATATAAAATTAATGTAAAAAGTGAATCATAATATCACAACTTACTTTTATTATATTGTTTCAAGTCAACAGGTCATTCAGGTTATATTGATGTCACAACCTGAACTGATGCTAAATTGCAATTGCTAAACCTGAACTGATAAATTCAGGTCAACCTGTCAGGTACCTGAATTTGGTCAACCTGTTCAAAACTCTAATTATTATACTATATTTATTACTATTATATAATTTATATAAATGTACTATTACTATAATTTAAATTAAATATAAACATTCTGATATATTAACAAATTAGAATATTTTTTTAACATCATTGATAATAAAGATTTTTTTCAAACATATAAAACAGTATATATCAGAATTATTTAGATTTATCAAAGAATTAATTAATACAGTGAAATTAAAAATAATAATAGCTAACTGTTATATTGAATTTTTTTTTTTTTTTTTTAATGATCTATATATACTTTATTGATATTAAGTTCATATACCATATAAATAAATTATCATGAGCTATATCCACCCAATAGGATGCGATCATCAAAATATAAATGATAACAAACAAAATAAAGAAAATAACAATAATAATTTTTTTTTTTTTATTTATAGTATAACTGGTCGAAACTTTATGATAATATTGTAACGGTACAAGATACAAATAAGGAAAGTGTCCCACTCCCGCTGTGCAATGAGAATATCCAGGCACACTTGTGTCAAATGACACTTCGCACCAAAAAAAATAAAATGAAAACAACAAAAAACAAAAATAAAAAACAAAAGGTAAAAGCTGATAATGAAACTACCATATGGGCTGATTTGTCTACCTTTAATTAAAATATTGATTTTATTACATTTTTATTATACAAAATACTATATAATATACAGTAAATTGGGGGTGAATATTAAAAAACTTTTATTTAATGTTATTATACTATAAGTTGGTAAATATTTCTTTTAAATTAATATAATTCTTAGCACTTACTATATATATTAAAAATTTGTATCTCAACTTTAAACGTAAATATCTCCAGATCTAATGATCCAATCGGCAAGCTCTATTTTCGCTTATATAGACCAGATCAAGGGCTTTCTGAAGAGCCTAAATTTATAAAAAACGGATCAGTGAATCCCAAGATATTTGCGTTTAAGCATGTTAAAAAGTTCGTACCTCAACTTTAAACATAAATATCTCTGGATCTAATGATTCAATTGGCAAGCTCTTTTTTCGCCTGGGCTTTCCAATGAGCCTAAAATTATAGAAAACGGATTAGTGAATCTTGATATATTTGCGTTTAAAGATGGTAATACAAATTCTGACATAAAATAATTATTTTTATTGTTTGAAAATATCTATTATGATACCATCTTTTTATATAATATTTTTATTATACTTTTATAAATATTTATAGCTACTAAGACTATATAAATTTTTATTTTACTTTATATTTTATTAAAATATACTTACTTTTTAATAATATATGTTAAAAATTCCATATATATGAGAAATGGATTTTTTATTAGTGAAATGGGTTTTTTCACACCTCTTTTACATTTAATAATTTAAGTTTCGCAAATGTAAATTTTTGTTCAACTTATTATTAAGTCAAGTGATCATCAATCAGATGATTTTTTGGTATTACAAAACAATTTTGAGTAACGAAAATTGTGCAAATCAATTCAATAACTCTTTTTAATGCAGAATAGACAAATCAGCCCATATGCCCTATAACTACTACACTTCTAAAACTAGGCCCACTGATCATTTTATACGGAATTCCTCAAGATACTCCTAATTTTCGTAACATTAATCTAATTTCAGCTAAAACAGTTAGTTTGTCAACGCTGTCTAAGCTCTTGTCAATTTTCTTAGATCACTTAGTCTCCTTTTGTTTCTTATCCGATTTAGATGTATTAGTATTATTCTGTGATACCTTGGAATCATCATCTTGTTTCACCTTCTGATGGCGGTTCCTTCTTTGCTTTAAATTAGGGAGTAATATCTTTTCCAATTACCTGTAAATTCAGGTAAACTGAAAGCCTTACCGATAACTCTATTCAAGTCAGCTCACGATTCGTAGTAAATTATCAATTTGCGGGTACCTTATCTTGAATTAATTTAAATGCTTTACACTCCACAAAGAATAGAGTAAGCAAGGTTTTCTAGGTATAAAGTTGCAATAGTAGTGGAAACAGAAATTCCAATTGACACTGCCTGGAATCGCTCCCGTTCTTTTTTTTGTTTCAGATCCAAATAGCCGGAAACCATCTTACAGGTAAACCTTCAAGTGGAGTGGTCCATACTCCACTATTCCATAGATCTAATGCTGCCTTGTTGAGGTTCACTGTCACAGTAATAGTAGTGTATTTCTGTTGCGATTTAAATTTAATTGCGATAACTTGATCCCAGGCCTTTAAGTGATTAAGGATGTCAAGTTGGGTCCATCAGAAGGGGATATCATATACTGTAATTTCTCAAATATTCTTCTTAATTTCAGGATTATATCCTGTCATCACAGTGCTAATTGTTTTGGATGCAAGTGTAGCAGGTTGTTTCTTAGGAGTCTTACGGCTAGTACTAGTCTGTCTTAAAGATATTAGCCTTAATTATTTTTTAAAAAATTTTGAATTACGGCTATAAGATTTTTATAGCCTTAATTAATTACGGCATATAAAAATTTTGTATTATGACACTTTTTTGAATTACGGCTAACATCTTTAAGACAGACTAGTTTTTGAAATAGGCACAGTTTTTTTCATCTTTTTATCCATTTTAGGAGAAGATGAGCTTGGTCTGCTCGAGTCACTATTCTAGTCCTATTTAACTGCTTTCGTATAGAAAACTCACTTCCTTCCTTTTCCTTTAAGAGTAAAAGCTACAGCATCTGCTTTAAAAGTTTTGGGTGAGACAGGAATAAAGGGCTCATCCTCCATCTAATCTATTTTGACTCAATTTGTGCTATAAGCTGCTGTAATTGTGATTGGGGTTCAGGGTATGCATAAATTTCCATATCCATCGAGGTATTTTCTGTGGAACTGGATACGTAATTGATTTGTTGTGATGACGTCATCAAACTTTACTTTCAAAAGTTATCAACCTTCTGACCAAGCAAGAATTGAAAATGTTGAGAGTACATAAGTATAATAAAGAGAAAGTGATAAAGTTTGGTGAGGTTCTTCACTCCAAAAGTACTGAAAACATCTTGAAATTCAGATAATAGGGCTTCATAAGGTGCTAAGTCTTCGCCAGCAGTTTGTTTAATGGTATCAACTATGTGTTTTTCACTCATGTTATCTGCGGTATATTCTCTTAAACCAACCTTCAAAAAGTCAAGAAAATAACTATTTTTGAGGTTGTTAATATGTTATTTAACCTTTAAATAGTCAACTAAAGGTTGGTTGTTATTATCGTAAGCCATTTTTAACGAAAAAGTTGCTGAAATTTTCTTGGGAAAAAATGGTCTATGCGATCATCAGAAAGAGTTTCCTCTTATAGTCAATAACAATAATAATAAAATACAAATAAAATATAAATAAAAATAATAATAAAATAGAAAATAAAAGAAAATAAAAATAAACATGCAATTTAAAATAAAATTAAAAAAATAAAAGTAAAAATTAATAGTAAAAAATAACAAATAAAATAAAATAAAAGTAAAAAATCAAATAAAATAAAATAAGTATAAAATTAAAAATAAAATAAAAAATTAAAGTAAAATGATCCAAATTATGTTGTTGTTAAATCTATAACAATATTGTTAACAATATTTTTTGTCTTTTTATAAGCCCAACTATACCACCAATTGTTATTAATCAATAAACACATCTGGTTATGAGCTTTTTTTTCTACTTTGTAACATTTTAATAAGATGGAATCTTCATCTGATAGATTTTTCTGTTGTATTGAATTCAGTTTAGATTGAATATCATTAAGAATTACAGTTTGGTTTTTCTGTGAATCTGGTAAATTATTCTTTTTTAATTGTTGTTTATCTTGTCTTAGATGTTTAGCTTGTTGGTAAGAGAATTTGAAGTACCAATTCATATTTTCAGATATATTTAATTTATCTTTTCTTTCAATTTCTTTTTTTTTTTCCCATGCTATGCCAAATTAATTCTTTGAAGTGAATAATAAAAGAATCCAGAAGTGAGGCCAAAAATAAAATATTCTTTAATTCTGAAAATCCAAATGTCTGTTTTGATATGATGGATAATTTAGTATTAATCTTAGCTTTCAAAACTAATAAGCAAAAATCAATAAATTTATTATCATCATGTTGTAATTCTAGTAACTGAATTAATTTTTCTCTTATAACCTTGAATGTATTTTTTGGTAAATTACTTAATTTTTGAATTATAAGAATTAAGTCATCTTGTATTCTGCTTTTAATTATAGGCCATAGATCCTTATTGGCATCACATTCAATAAAGTGAAATCTGTTTTCTTCTTTATTAGTATTGCATCTGGGACAAACAAAATCTTTGTATATGTCTAGTTTTCGTTGGATTAGAGTAATACCAGGACTCTGCTTACTTATAATAAAGGTTACCATAGAAAATTAGCCCTTTACTAATAGTTTTTATCTTACTTTTTTCTTAAATTCTATTGGTTAATTAGCTAAAAAGAAAAAAAAATCATAACAATGTAACATAAAATTTCCTTTTATAGTAGGATCTGCAAAGAATTTTATATATGATTTTTACCTTAGGCTTAAAGGTGACTTATCTATAAGTAAGCAGAGTCTTGTAACACCTATAGAAAGAAGTTTAGTAAATAATTTAACAATAAATATTAAATACCAATGTTTTTTTGATGAAATACAATTAAATCCTTTATATTTATGAATCAAATTTCAAGTTATATTCCAGGCTATTGGTGTCTCATGTCCATTATTTTTTAACATTGACGGCCATTCTAATATTCATTAGAGTTTTAATAAATTTCCTTAAATTGTATTCAATTGGAAACTGTTTGAATGTTGGAAAATATCTAACTATTCTATTGCTATAGTTAAATCTATTATTAAAATAAGAGTTGCTACTACATGCATTCTTTGCTAATTTATCTACCATTTCATTTATTACATCTCCACTGTGTCCCTTAACTTTCACTACTAGATCCATTTTTTTTTCTTGTAAAAGAATATTTATCTTGAGTAGAATTAAAGAATTTGATTACTTCAATAATTTCCTACTCAATTTATTGTTTTGGTTATTAATCATATGTATTGCATTTTGACTATCTATATAAATCTTAATTTTTGCATTCATGGGGTCAGTGAATAATGCCATAAGAATTGCCACTAATTCTGATCATATAGATGACATAAAGATAAGTTTACTTGAACTGACAATGCAGGTTCATTATTAATACAAAATGCCGCTCCCATGTTTGAGTATACTAAATTAGAATCTTGTTTTTCCATTAATGTGGGGTACTTGACTTAAGTGAATCATCTGTATAATATTCAACCACTGTTCTCTCTACTAGTATATTTCTAATTTCCATTAATCGCGATTTTAAGTTATCATCATCTATCTATCTGTGAATCCATATGTTCACAACTAATGGTAAAATAATTTCTGGATCTGGAAATGATGTTGTTGACCTATTATTGGATATTGAGATATGATAGATTGATAATAACTATTTGCTAGGAAAGTTCTAACTACACATATTGGAATTTTTATCTAATATTGCTACTTTATAGCAGTTAGCTGGTATGGATTGTCCTGTATTCTGCCATCTAATAGTTCCATTATTATTGAATCCTAAATGATAATTCACTAAAATCCCCTTCACGTGATAATGTAATTTGGTAACCTTGTTTATTGACCATATATTTGTATCAGCTGTTGGCTTCCTGATGAAAATGATCTGTCTTTGATGTGCATCTGGTACAATATCCAGTAAAAAAGCCCAATGATTTACTTTGGCAAGCTCCAGATCATTAGCAACCGTTAAATTATCTATTCTAGATGTACACAAGTGGGCTACATCACGATACCATTTAGCTATTCTTCCTTATATAGGGAGTAATGCTAATTTGTGATATTATTTCCATGACATGAGATATGTGCCTCTAATAAACAACTAGTTGATATAGTATATTGGAGGACCTTGCTTACTTCTAATAAAGGTCACCCACAAGCCTAAGGTAAAAATTACATAGAAAAGTCAAAAAAACTGGTTGAATTTATAAGGTTTTTCTTTATAAATTAAAAAAAGTAAATGTAATTCAGTGGTAAGTTTTTTTTATGTAACTGTTAAGTATATGGTAAAATTAAACAGGATTTTAAAATGTAAGTGAATAGTGCTCTGAAACAAGTTGAGTTGACTCAAGAGTTGGTCAAGTCGAGTCGAGTTGAAAATTACAATCAAATCAAATCGATTCGAATCGAGTTAATAATTTAATAAAATTGAGTCGAGTCGAGTTAAGCTGAATTAAACATAATTCCAGCCAAATTTATGGAATTTCCTTTTTTGGAAATTATGCTACACAAAATCCGAGACGAAATTTTTTGAAAATTACAAAAATGGAATTTTGTGAAATGGCTATAGCCAAAAAAGGAAATGATCAGCATAGCTGAAGAAAATCACATGATTTAATTTGACTCGACTCAATTCAATTTGACGGGTCAACTTGACTAGAATCAAGTTAGGTTTATATTTTTTATAATTTTAACTCGACTCGACTCGATTTAATTCAAGTCGAATTGAGTTTACATATAACTCGACTTGACTCGACTTGTTCAGAGCTCTAAACATACACTTAAGACGTTCTATCAATCTTGCTCTAAAAACCTGACTTTTAGGATAAAATTAATTTTTTATTTCATCTCCTTATAACTACTGACCACCAGTCAACTACGTACCTCCCTAAAAAATTAAAAAAAGCAGAGCGTAAACTATAAAACCCTGCATATTCATTCAAAATATAAATTTGATTATAAACTTTCTAAATCACTAAAAAGGTTAAGCTAATTAAGTTTTCTATTTGGATCAATATATTTATCTTCATTAAGATTTTCTTCAACTTTCTTAAGATTAATTTTTAATCTCCTTTCTTTTTCTTTTTCTTTTTCTTTTTCTATCAATCCAAAAATTCCAACTTTTTTCAAAAATAAAATTCCTTAACAAAACTAAGAATTTTTTCTTGTAAATTTTGATTTTTAAAAATTAAGGACGTATATGCTGATAACTCACAAAAAATTATACTTTTAATTAAATTTATAAAGGTAATTTTCATTTCACTGTAGGTACGATCCTAAAAAGTCATTTTATTAATAATCTCGTCATCAATAATAGGAACTTTATCTGCATTAATCAACAAAGTGTTACAAGCTATATGGGCTGATTTGTTTACTCTGCATTAAAAAGAGTTATTGATTGATTTTCACAATTTTTGTTACTCAAAATTGTTTTGTAATACCAAAAAATCATCTGATTGATGATTACTTGACTAAATAATAAGTTGAACAAAAATTTACATTTGCAAAACTTAAATTATTAAATGTAAAAGAGCTGTGAAAAAACCCATTTCACTAATAAAAAACCCATTTCTCATGTATATGGAATTTTTAACATATATTATTAAAAAGTAAGTATATTTTAATAAAATATAAAGTAAAATAAAAATTTATATAGCCTTAGTAGCTATAAATGTTTATAAAAGTATAATAAAAATATCATATAAAAGATGGTATCATAATAGATATTTTCAAACAACAAAAATAATTATTTTATGTCAGAATTTATATTACCATCTTTAAACACGAATATATCAAGATTAATATTTTAATTAAAGGTAGACAAATCAGCCTATATGCTCTGAAAAAATGTCATACATGGTTATGTTATACTTATTATTATCTTCAGTTGATGTAGCATAATCTAGGTTATATTTGGTAATTTTTCTTGTCCATCTAGATTTGGCATTCTCATTTGTTATCATCTGTCAGTTGCCATGATACTAGAATTCCAGACATTACATATACAACTCAGTGGCAACTTTTTCGCAGATTGACCTAAATTTCACAAAAAAAAATCAGTTTTTTGCGATTATTTCAGCATCCAGTAGTCCAATTTGTACAAACATTTTTTTGTTTTGTAGCTCTCATTGAACTCTACAAAATAAAAAAATCCGCATGAATCAGATCACTGGATACCGAGATAATTGCAAAAAAATGGAAAATAAAAAAAGAGTAAATTGGATCTTTTTTGGCAAAAAGTCAGTTATAAGTTCTATAAGAGATGTCTGGGGTCTTATGATAATAATTATGTAATAAACTAAGTAATTTGTTTGTATGTTATTCTGGATAAGGTTGCTTGTCTAAACCTCTTCAAAATCCTATGATTAGTTTCGTCAAAATTTTACTATAGATTTATTATAGTTTCAGCAGAGTTTCAGAGGTTTTGGCATTTATAATAAGTTTCGGCAGTTTCGCCTTTCTCTAAAGTTTCGCCAGTTTTTTAATATAACTTTAATATAGTTTCGGCAGAATTTCGCTTTTCGGCGAAACGCCATCTTGCCTAAACCCCTAGGTTTCGGCAAGCAACCTTAATTCTGGACTCAACTTTTTCTTGTTATAACGCTTAAAGGAATTGTGTAGTCTGAGAATTTTTCTGGGTAGTTCTTTATCTGCTGCATTTATTATAATACTGTTAAGTTGGTCCCAATATCTATCTATGTCTTTCTGAGAGTACTTTATAAAATTGGCTTTTTCTTCAAGGACGTCTTGGTCAAGTGAGTCTATCTGATCTTTTATATTGAGTTGGAAGTTTTTTCATATCGCTTTTTCAATATTATCGCAGTCATATATGACTCTAGTGTGGGCATTACCAGTAAATAATTTATCATATACTGTATTTTTCCTATTATTTCATATAAGGTCAGAGGTGTCTATAGTTACTGTAATAATGCATAGTCACTATATGTGATAAACATCGAGAGAGTAATTGAGAAATTTAATACATTATTACTGTGAGTTTCAGATACTCAGATTTGATCTAATCTCATGCTAACTCCTTTTTTGTGATAAGTGTTTCCTAGTATTTTTTTATTAAGCTTCCTATATGAGTCTATAAGTTCCAATGCTTCAAGATCATTGGTTTGAAGTTATATTGTAAGGTAGTGCAATCGATTTGACAACTGTTATATTGAATTAATAAAATTAGCTATTATAATTAATCAAATATTTGATAAAAATAATTTAAAATTAGATGTAATTAATATATTTAATTATGAGTAAATTTATTCATCGCACGTGCGATGCATCGCCACTTTCCTTTTTTGTAAATTATTTATGTTGATCAACCTGCTTATACATCGCCACCCCCCTTAAAATGGCAATGATAAACATAAAAATTTGCATCGCACGTGCGATAAATAAATTATTTCTTTAATTATAATTATAAAAAAATTTAATTATAATACTTATTTACTTAGTTATTTTTACATATTAACTATTGTAATTTAAAATTTAAAAAATAAACCATTTTGAAAAATTTGTAAAATTATTGCAAATTATTAGAAAATTTTAGGATATAATGAATATTTATATTCAAATTTATTAGTTAATCTTTAAAACATAAACAAAATGAATTTTCATATAATATATAATATTAAAATGGATGTAGAATTTTACTTGATTGGTGTTTTACATTTAGTAATGCAAAAAATATTGATTTTATATTAAAATATTTTTTATTATACTTTTCTAAGTAAAATGTAAAAAAAAATTTATTTTAGAATTGTTTTTAAATAAGGTAATAACTATGATTAACCACTAGTTATTATAACCATCTGTTTAATAAAATTTTAAATTTTAAAATTTTAAAATTAAATTTTATAAAATTTTGATATTTATGTAATTTGTCATGTGATGATTACATGTCGACTATTTTTATACTACTGAGTACTGATTGATTTATCAGCTTTTAAATCTTTTTCTCACGCCTTTCTTACATTCTTTCTCTTTCATTTCATTTGTTTTATTTACATCTTCTATTTCATTTACAAATTTATTTCATTACTTGTTTATTTTCATCATTGATTCATATATTTTATTTACTCTTATAAAATTGCATGAAAAAGAACATATGATACATCTTTTTCACTCAT